TTAATAAGTACAATATTACTTATAAAGTATGTTACAAACTTATTTTTTATTGCTTTGAAGTTGCAGAAACTCGGAAACGTCACACTTATTCGTATCATAATATGTATATTGTATTATTTTTTGATGATGTACTGGGTTGCTCATGTTGAATCTGAGTAACTCGAAGATTAGATTCTTGTATAGCTGGTTGTTGAGAGGGTGGATCATTTAGCTGAGTAACTGAAGGATGCGAAATTAGTGCGGCTGGTTGTTGAAAGAGTGTATCATGTAGCTGAGTAACTGGCGGCTGTAAAACTGGTATGGTTGACTGTTGATAGAGTGTATTATTTTGTGGGTGAGAAACTAGTGTGGCTGGTTGTGTTGCAAACTGATTTCCATAGTAAGTGGTAGGATTTTGCCCATAATCATAGAAGTTTTGAAAACTGTTGCCTGAATGTTGGTGGGTTGGTGCACGAAAGGTACAGTTTTCCGTAAGCCTTCCTAATTTTCCGTAAAATAAAACATCGGAAATTATTTTTTGCGCAATAATTCTTTGTCTTGCGTCCATGTGTTCGAGATCAACTGCTACGCTTTTTCCAAACGGTTCAAATGGAGATATTGGTTTTTCTGGAGCTGTAAGGGCAACATTTGCTGCGTCTAGAAACTTTGCTTTTTTATGGCCTAGACAACTATTTCCTTTTGTGGACCTGCAACTTCCACGGCTACTTTTTTCAGCATGCTCAGAATAGCAGCTGCTTACGGGAGTTGATGGCTCGCTTAATGATTCAGGTTGTTCATCCTGAAAAAAATAATACACATTGTTGTAATACAAATGATATTTCACATGATTTTTGTTTCAGTTTCCATCAAGCACAAATGATTGGCTGCAAATCGCAAATGGATTCAAACGTTCCTGCGACTTTGAACATTGCTTGGGAGCCATGGATGGCAAGCATATTGCCATAAAAAAACCGCCTAATAGCGGTTCGTTTTTTTACAATTATAAGGGATTTTTCAGCACCGTATTGTTTGCCATTGTAAACGCTAACTATGAATTTATTTATGTATATACGGGAATAAATGGTAGAGTTTCAGATGGAGGTGTCCTGCAAGAGACCGATTTTTACGAGAAACTCGAAAATCATACTTTAAATATTCCTCCTCCTCATCATCTTGAAAAATCAGCAGTCAAATTACCATACGTTTTTATAGGAGATGATGCTTTTAGCCTAACAGAAAATGTAATGAAGCCCTATTCAATAAATGGTATTAGCCACGATGAAAAAGTTTTCAATTATCGCCTATGCCGAGCAAGGAGAGTGGTTGAAAACGTGTTTGGCATATTGGCTTCTCGCTTCAGAATATTACTGAGCACAATTACACTAAGTAATGTAGAAAAAGTCGATAAAGTCGTATTGGCATGCTGCGTATTACATAATTTTTTAAGAAGAAAATGTTCCAACTATATGAATATTCGCTCAGTTGATCGCGAAAACAGTCATCACATTATTCAAGATGGTGATTGGCGTGAAGAGCTTCGTCAGTTACATGGTTTACAAAACAGAAGGACCTATTACAATGATATTGCTAAAAATGTCAGAAAAGCATTTACCAACTACTATAATAATGAAGGAGGAGTATCATTTCAAGAAAATATGATCAACGGAAATTAAGAATAATCGAAAAGTCTTACAAAAAGTTGTATTTGATCGAAAATGTTTGCATTTTTTATTAAAAATAAACGTAATAAAAAAATTACTTACCCTTGTTTCACTTTGAGTTTCCTCTTCTAATTCCTGGAATGCCATTGAAGAGGTTCCAGGGCGAACTTCTTCCTGATCCCGAGTAAATAATAGTAATTGAAAATACCACAAACTGGGTTCATAAATACTATCCGTGGAGGCCCCAGTTTTCTTACTTTTTCTAATTTCTCTTAATTCTCGGCGAAAGCCAGCACGCAAGGAATCTATTTTTTTTCTTACAAACTTCACATCTGCCAGAGGCCAAATTTCCTTGCATTTTTCAACTAATGCTTCATATGCGTCATTTCGCAATTGTTTGTTAGCATATTCCTTGCTTTTTACATTCCACAAGCAAGGCTTTGACTTATACAATAAAATAAAACTTTCCCAAAATGGTTTGTTATCCGCGAAAGACATTTTAATAACATAAATCCAAACTATCCCTCTTGGACTTTATTAGGTAAATGCAAAATGAGATGAAAAATTTTCGTCCGGCGAGCAAATCCGCAACAGGTCTATTCACGTACGTATCTGTCCGGCTCGCTAGCGGTGATCGTCGTCTTGGGCTACGGACGGCGAGCCAGACATGTACGCCGAGCGCGTGCATATACACGTGCGGATCTGTCCGACGAGTACGTCTCTCGGACAGATCCGCCGGACATGCTCGCATGTGAATAGGTCCCTTTAGTGGTCCACACGTCCCAGCCATGTTACATTCTTCCGGATTCTTGCTGACAGTATGGAAAGTATTTTCCTTCCCCTCAGCCACCACGCAAGCAGAATCGTTAGCTCCGACAAAAAATAGGTTTCTAATATTATACCTGTTATTCACAATGATGCGTTTTATATTTTTCCTATAGTAGTAAGTATTTTCCCCATAAAATCTTGATGCAGCTAGACTAAATATATTATCGTCCACCGGTAGCCCCAGTACTTCGGCGTACGAAACACGTGTATCATTGAAAAACTTTGCCAACTGATGACTGTCTACGACCTTACGTACTTTTTGTTTACGCGCCTGCTCCATATTTTTATAGTCGCCTACCAAATAAATGCTCATGTATGTAAAAAAACAGAGTTACTACTGCTATTATAGAGAATACCCCTTTACCTCTCATTCGCTCTCCTATTTGCACCGGACAGGAAGATATGAAGATATGAAGATAAGCCTCAGAAAAATTAGCACTGCACACCTCGATTGATGATGCGGCACTGGTATAAAATTAGATACAGGTAATGAGCAGTGTTGCCACAATACCGATCATATGTATATCGTAGTTTAAAAGTATGAAATTGGAAAGTCAACTGAATGAAAACTGCACAAGGGAAGGTAAGCCGTACTTACAAATTCGTTGTAAGTAGGGCTTCCTTGCATTATTAGTTGCACGTCCCCTCATTCCAGGCAAATGTCAGTAATGACACACTGAAAATGGGTCAATCTTAGCGGTCAGGTCCTACCAGGCGGGGAATGACGGAACAGGTTAAACCAACAGGCAGCATTACCACCGTTTTATCTTTTTCAATGATTCGTGAATTGTAATGTTCAAACAAGATTGAATTACGCCATTTTGTAGAGGAGAAAAATATTAGGATGAAATTTATTTTGAAATCTCACTACAGATAGTCAGGAAAAAATTGAAACGATTTTGGTAAAATTCGTTTTTTTTTCGTGTCTCTCCGGAAGTACTTTAAATTTCGATTCTTTTTAAACGGCATTTTCGTGATTACCTAAATACGTTACTTTGTCCCCACCTAAGCGACGAATTCTCTTACAGTTTTTTAGATCCCATTGCTTAGCGCCAATTGTGAAATACCGGCCCGGGTATTATGTTTCTTGAAATGTGTCATTTTGTCGTTTTTTTGACATTTGGTAGGTTTGTTGTGACATAACGTAAGTTTTTCTACAAAATGTTAACTTACCACATGCTGTTGTAACAGTTGTCGTGAACTCATTTTGTAGCTGTGAGTGTTGCTTCAACGTGCGAGCAAACGTGGAATGCACTATTTGCACACTAAAAACTACCTAGTCTACAAAATGACATTTCGTCGGTTTTCTTTTTAACGTTTTTTAGTTTTTTTTACCTAATATCCCTGCCGGTATACAAAGATCTTCATTTATTTTTACATTGTTATTTACATCGTTAATCTACTTTTCTTTATATTAAAACCCTTAAAGTCCAAGTTCGTGTTTGCAGTTAGCGCTATTGATTGGCATTTATTTACATAGTCAAACATTTCAATATAAAGCTAAAAAGTGTTGATTTTGATCAAAAGCAAAACTGAAAAAACAGAGCCCGGCCCTGCATTTTTTAACCGTCCGTCTAACTTTACGTAACTCCTATTTCAACGAAATCGGTTCAATAGTGCCTGGAATATGCCATCTTAAAGATTTGGCGTGTTTAAATAAATCACCCTGTATATACCACAAACTTCAAGAAGAACTTTTTCATTTTAAGATAAGGGTCTCGGTCCATACTACCTACCGTTTCACCATGCCCATTTAAGTATGGAACACCCAGAATTATAACAGACCGAGAGGCTCCGATCCCCCACTTGCCTATACTTGTTATTGAGAGAGATTTGAAAAATATAGCGGGGAGAAAGACAGTTATTGCAGAGAATCGTTGGAACAGATAAAGCACTGGCAACGGCGCCTCTTGCTGTGAGCTGTACGAACTGTACGTCATTCCCCGTCTTCCACGAGTAGGATTCTTCTGCTAAAATTGAATCATCTTCAGTGTTGCCGGTTTGCCATTAACTACTGATATTTGCCTGGCATGTGGGAACGTGCAAGTATTATTACCACGTTGACTGCGTTGCGAAAAAACGGCACTATTTTTTCAGTGCGATATAAGTCGCCAGGGACCGATAGTATGACATTATTCTGACACGGTATAGGTCTTCGGAAACCGATAGGCAAGCGTTTAACTAAAGCCCTCTAACATTTTATGTTCAAACCAGAATCGAAAAATAATTGCAGAAATCTGTAAATATATTCTAGGTGATGGTAAGTTTGGCTCCGTATAAGTCCCTGACGACTTATACCGCATCAATGGCTAGATGGATTTTAAGCATACATATAACACTTATATTCATTTTATTTCAAATTTTGATATTTTACCAGTAAAACCAAACAATATATTTCAAGAATATAATATTTAAATCATAAATGTGCTGTTAGATGAATTTATTGCAACAAAGGTTCTTATTATGTGTGTAATTTATTGAAGCAGGGAAGACACATGCCAGGTTTTCCGGGACAATCTTCACAAAAACTTGTTACTTTGGTGACTTTCTTATTTGCTTCACGGCTGGATACAGTTGTCCGAAGGTTTTGATAGCATCCTCTACAAATCTTCCTTTTTTTTCTTCCTGGGCCAGTTGGTTTTCTGAAAGTGTGAATCCTTTTACGTGTTGTTGGTTCGGAAACAACTGGAGGAGGATCTCTTAACTGTTCCGCTAAAGTTTTTCTAAATTCGGTTATTGACATTTTCTTCTTTGAAATCGGATTGAAAATGATCCAGGCATTTACGATACATGCTCCAAATAAAAATTCATTCATAACTTTTCTGTACCATTTTAGGCCTCGACGTAGAACCGAGTGATATGAAGACATCTGGTCACTATAATCAACTCCTTTTTTAGCTTTGTTATAATCTGTAACACACTTAGGCTTTACAATATCTTCACCCTTTCTTGATTTTTTTCCAGTTGCTTCAACAGTGCTAATATGAGTAGGATTGGTAGTCAGCATTAAAACTGGTCTTTTATCAACCCATTTTATAATTTTAACGCACCCATTTTGTTGACCGTACGTCTCTCCTTTTTTAACTTTTTTTGGAAAGATTTTGGAATTCCTTTCCTATTTGCACGTAGTGTTCCGCAGTAGACAATTTTTTCCTCATATAGTTTTTTTGCTAGAGGCAAGCTGCTATAACAATTATCTGCAAAAAGATAATGTCCTTCTTTAGCTTCTACAGATTTTAGAAGTTCTAAAACCATCGTTTCTGAATGCTGTTGGCCTTCAACCTTTTCATTTTTTCCAGTATATATAATAACTTTTTGACACCATACTTGTGCGTTTTATTAGGAATATACTGGCGAAATTTTAATCGACCTCTGAAAGGAACCATAGACTCGTCGATAACCAGAATTCTCCCAGGAGTCAGAACATTTCGAAAATTCCTGTTAAGTACCTCCAATACGTTTTTGATTTTGTACAGCCTGTCGTTAGTATCCAAAAATGGGTCTTCGTTGTTGCAAAAATGTAAACATCGAAGTAAAAGGAGAAATCTATCACGTGGCATTGTCTTTGCTATAAACTCATTTCTGAACATAGGATCTTTTGACCAGTAGAAATTAACTGACGGAAGTGAGTTAAAACCCATTACTAGGATAATTGACAAAAAACGCATGACTTCGTTTTTATCTGTGTCCACCCAAACATTTAATCTGGATTTTGAATTTCTTCGTCCTGTTAAGCTTTGTTGGGCGTATCTATTTGTCTCTTCAACAATGATATGCCAAATGTCGTCAGTCACAAAAAGTTTATAAGCATCCACTGGACTCAAAATCTGACTAACGTCAAAATTAAGTTCAGCTGACTCATTACAGACGTTAAAAGGTACCTGTCCTTCAACAATGTCTTGCCAATTATTAGTATCTAGCCCAACATGCGGCATATTTCCAATTTCATCATCTGTGGTGTCATTAGCTTCATTTTCATCAGCTGTATCCGAAACTAAATCATCGGCCTCGGCGGCACTGCCTGGATGGAAAATAAAAAAAATAAAACTGAAACAACAGAAACAGACATTGTGTTGGAAATATCTATTACCTTCGATTGTATCATCAAACAGATTATGTGGATTTTCATCAGAATCCGACGAAGATGGGTAATAGTCTTTATCTATGATAGAATCATCACTCCCAAAGTCGGAAAATTCATCTCCACTTGTAAGATAATTTCTTCCAGGACTATTTATTTGATTTTCATCGTCCGATGACTCTGCTTCAATGATTTCAATTTCATTTTCAGGTGTATTTGTTTGTGTGTCGATATCTGTGGGCAATGCTCCAGTATTTTGTAGATTTTTTGTTATTTCCATAATTTTTTTAACGCGGGAAGAAAACATTTTCGGAGAGTAAATCTAATACATAACTTCATCCACTCGAATTCGGTACACAAATGACGGCGAAGCAGGATCGAACGCGTTTGTCCGTAAGATTATGTATATGTCTCTGGAGACCTATACCGACGTCTACTAATTATTTGAATCTGTCTGTGCGATATCGTCATTATTTAATTTTTGATTCTACAAGTTGTGATGATCTTATAGCTACATGTCTCGCTTTTATAACTTGTATACTAACGAAAATATGCATTCCGCACCAAAACGAATATTTGAAAAAATGAGCTCCGCATTACAATGAAGCTTGATATCGGTCTCCGGAGACCGATATCGCAGTCAACGTGTTAAAAAGAAAGCGTGCTTGCAAGGAATTTTCCAGTAATACCGATACCCTTGTGCAATTTTCTGGTTTTTCTCATCGTCTCATGCGGTGCGGTCGCCTCGTCACGTGATTTTCGAATTCAATACTGTTAAACTGATTTGCGTTGCTTAAGCTGCTAAACATAACATATTTGATCAAATGCAAATTTATGATCAAAAAACAAAAAAGGTGCAAAACATGTATTTTGATAAATAATTAGCACTTTTCATTGCCTTATTTTGTACATAGTCAATCATTTCAATATTCTGCTTAAGATGTGTTGATTTCGATACAAAACAAAAAAGTGAGAAAATCGAGTTCGGCCCGTCTTTAACATTACTTTTACATTACTTTTAAATAACCATGCTATCCTGCAAAATTTCAACGGAACTGTGCCTGAGATATGCGATATTCAATATAATAATATTGGCGTTTTTAGCTATCCGTAAAGATTGAGTTAAGAATTTGACTCGGTAAAAGAAGCCAGTCAAGGTTTTGCTTGTCTACTGATTCTGATAGTCTGTAGTGGAAATGAAAGCGCATTTGACATAAGTCCATTTTGTGACAGTTCTAACATGAATTCCGTAGTTTTAGTGTTGTTTTTTTAAGCAGTGCGAGTGTTTGCAGATAATTTGGGTGATAGACGATTTCAAGACATGCTACTTTTTACATAATTTGCAAAGAGCAGCACAAGCCTAATGAAGCTGAAGGTAGAAGTGTTACACCCAGAAAAAATAATTTCTTCAACCTGATTTTTTGGCAATGAGGTAGTCTTACATCAAGAATGATTGATAACATTCTTCACGACATTCTAATGTCAATGAGTATATTTCCTCCTATTATTATTATGCTGATAGAACGTAGTCACTTTGGTGGACGTTGGTAGACAAAGAAGTCAAGAGTATACATTGGAACTACGCAATCTTTTCGACAAACCACTTTAAGCATATCTGTACCCCAGAGTCAGACTAGGTTAAGTCCATTTTTGTCAAAAGTGATTTTAATATGTTAAGCTTATGATAATATTATGAATTTTCATTTGCTACATGCAGCGTCTATCTGTCTGTAATAATAAGGACATTACGACTTTTTAACTCATGTCAATTCGCATACAATACAAGGCAAGAAAACTATTTCAAAATACAATGATCTCAAAACTACTTATTTGGACTTAACCTAGTCTGGCTCTGAGGTACAGATATAGGTCTGCCTGCTACCATTTCACTATACGCATTTGAACATACTTTCCCTCTTTTCACCTGTTCTGCTACGTGCGTTACGTATGGCTGCCACAAACGTATGCATCAATGAAACGGGTGAGTAGTAGAACAACGTCGATTCTAACTCACTTGGTCCCCATCCATCAGGTTCTGTTCTGTTTGCCCTCTATTTGACCTTGGGTATCTGAAGACTTTGCAGACATGCAAGAAGTGTATCGCCAATGACCAGAGGGTGAGATGTGCCAAAATGTGACGTCATGTATGCATAAAAAAAGGCCTAAATACCATGTGACACACAAAAGTGAGTAGTGATTGAGAAAAGCTTTATGCATATGCAAGAGACAAGCCTCGCCTAGCCAAGCCTAATTTAAATCATCCTCTAGTCATAATAATAATAATAATACTAATAATAATAATATGGGAAGTAAATGAAACGACGGTGGTAGTATGATATTAATATATTTAATTGTATATAAAACAACTTATATCTGAAGCTGCGAAATGATGGAATGTGTTTTTGAAACTGTTGATAGAATATGTTTTTCTATTGAAAATAATGTATCCCTGTCGAAGCAACTGCCTTATATTGTATTTTCCACAGTACATAATTGTACCTTTTCGTTTCATTGTGACTGAATAATAGTTCAGATCTTGTCCAATTACATATCCAATTGTTCGATTGTATTGATTTTTAATTTCTGTGTCGATGGGAATTTTTTTCCCTGAGTAGTAGAATGCTGGATACGACTTTAATTCTGTTCTTCCATAATTATGTAACTCATACAGGTAGAAAACTCCGTCTTCGATGTTGAATATCTGATCAGCAACTACAACTGGTTCATTCTGGTAGCACGTTGTTAGGGTAAAAAACTGAATGGCTAAAACAGCAGCAGCAATTTCAACTAAATCCAGACAATTCATCTCTGAGAGTGTTCTTCCTTTGAATGGTATATATGTATATATATATATGTATTAAGTCTCATACTGTCTTTTTATATTGTCCGAAAGGGTAGGAGGAGGAGGAGGAGGAGAAGGAGGAGGAGGAGGGTGATAAATATTACTATTCTTCATTTAACAGCCAAATTGTAAACGTTTCACAAACAGAACAATATTGCATTTTTCTTTGTCGTATGTTTGTGTATTGAAGAGTCACTTGTATGGTGAACTCAGTATTTTTCCAGCATGAAACGCAAATATATGAAGGCATTACTTGTTAATGTACTAATCACTAGCAGCGTATTAATCAACAGCATGAACCAACTAGATTATTATAACTAGTAACGCAAACGATTAAATATATCAGTTCAGTTATCACTCATGTGCTATGAAGTACTACGGTGGTGAAGGCTTACTGAATACAGCTATAAATAATTTACCTGTAGAATTACACATCCCAACGTACAGATACTGTGGTCCTGGCACTAAACTTGCTGAAAGGTTAGCCAGAAATGATCCAGGTGTGAACGGATTGGATGAAGCTTGTAAACAACACGATATATTTTATTCAAAAGAAAAAGATCTGAGTAATCGGCATTTGTCTGATAAGGTGCTGACAAAACAAGCAATGAATAGGTTTCGTGCAAGTGATTCGTCTTGGAAGGAGAAGGTCGCCGCTTTAGCTGTAGCAGGTGCTATGAAAGCTAAAGTAAAACTTGGAATGGGCTTAAAAGAAACCTCTCAAAGGCACCAAAAACGTAATATAAACAATTGTTTGAAGAAATTACATAAATTAGCGAAAGAATTACAGGGGTCTCAAAAACTGGTTCAAGACTCTGTACAGATCCTACAAACTGAACAATCTCAAAAAGCTCAAAAAAATATACTTGCGAAGGTTAAGGAGAAAAGTAAATCTAGTGAGAAAAAAGTACGAGAAGTGAGAGAAATCAAGAAACACGAAACCAAAAATAACTCTGTAGTAAAACATGAAACATTCAAAGTAAAGCGTGAACGAAAAACAAAACCTAATGTTAAAGAGAATAAACGTGGCAGAAAACCAAAGTCTGCTTCAGAAAGCATAAATGAAAAAATCAAGAGAAGAAAAAAACCAAAGACTCCAATTGAATACATGGACACTGATATAAGAGAAGAAGGACAGAAGAACAAACCAAAAAAGAGGAAACTGGATTCAGCTTTTACTACTACTCGTACTTCATTGAATGATGAAAAAGTGAAAAAAAGAAAAATAGATTTGGATGATCCAATTATAATTCCTGAGAAAAAATGCAATACAAAACGTAAGAGAGAATCTGATAATGAAGAAAACGAACAACAACAACGCAAGTTAGATATGAGTGACGTAATTCCACATCCATGGAAACAAAAAAATAGAAAACGGAAGATTCAACCAGATAATGATAATGATCGTGATAATGATGATGATGATGATGATGATGATGATAGTAACATACCTAGGAAAGTTAAAGTTATAAATACCTAGTAATCTACACATCCAAATTCAGTAATGAAAATGGTACGTAAGAAGATTGTCAGTCCTGAGAAAAGAGCTACAATTGACCGACAACAACAACAACGATCACAGCATCAGAAAAAAAAATAAAGACTGAGAGGAAAACGAAAAGTATATCGAGCAGTAAAATAAAAAGAAAGAAAGTTAGCTTTTCTAGCGCAATTAAACAAATAGGGAAACGTGTGGTACATCAAAAACCTACTACCTTTGGAGAAGCAATACTTGTAGCATTGAGGGAGGCACAAAATTTAAAAAAAGGTGTAAAAAAGCCGCCAAATCGTATAGTGAAGATACCGAAGAAAGGAGGTATACTACCCCACTAATCCCAATTTTTGCTGGCCTATCAGCCCTTGGTGCTTTGTCTGGTGGTGCTGCTGGTATTGCTAAGGCTGTCAATGATGCAAAATCCGCAAAGCAGCAATTACAAGAATCTCAACGTCATAATAAAATGATGGAAGCTGTAGCACTTGGAAAGGGAATGTTTTTGAAACCCTATAAAACGGGAATGGGCCTTTTCCTGAAACCATACATTAATTAAAACCAGTAGTGAGATAAGGGAAAATGTCACTGAAAAAAACAAAACAAGTGGCTAAAGTTTCAATTCCAAATGGTCACCCATTAACAAACGTTGAGCTGGAAAGGTATGCAAAACGTTTAAAAATACCGTATTTTCGAGGAGTCTTCATACGAGATAAACTTCCCAAAAAAATAAAAACCAATGAAAGAGGAATTATGAATTTGGATACATCTACGGGACCAGGTACCCACTGGACTGCTTATAAGAAAAAGGGAAACTTAGTGGTTTACCTGGATACATATGGAAACTTAGAACCACCATTCGAAGCAATTGTATATTTTAATTCTAGTGGACCCTGTAGAGTACAGTACAATTATAATGTATTTCAAAGATTTAATACTGTAAATTGTGGTCAATTGTGTTTACGTTTTCTCAAAAGTGAATAAATACTGCTTACCATAATGACACTTGTTTATTTCATGTATGGCTATTCATCGGTTCATATCTGTATGATGTATACGTTTACTTTATCTGCTAGAGAGTCTGTGTTATCAGCTAAAATCTATCCACCTATAGTACTCGACAGTAGTAAAACGTATGCTTTAGGACTTATTGATTTTTTAACTTTCAACACAATACCCAACATAGATATAACAAATAATAAGTTCCATATTGATGATGAGGTTTTAACAGTTCCCGAAGGTAGTTATGAAATAAAAGACATTATAGCATTTCTTAACGAGAGAATAAAACCAAGGGTAAGTGAAATTAAAAAAAAGAAACCACAGAAACGATCTCTAAATTCAAATGCAATTACCAAAGATGATGAGAAACAAACTGACATACAACTCCATATGCGAAGTAATTTAAATACCTTACGGTTTGAAATTAAAAGCAACCGACTAATTGATTTTGAGCAAAATGGTACAATAGGTGAGTTATTAGGGTTTAGAAAGAGGAAATTAAGTTCACACAAACTACACATCTCAGATTTTCCTGTAAATGTTTCCAAAGTGAACTCTACATGTGTGGAATGTAATCTGATAACGAATTCTTTAAGAAATGATCATGCTGTTCACACGTTGCATATGTTTTACCCTAACGTGCCTAGTGGATATCGCATAATAGAAAAAGTATCAAATGTCATCTATTTACCAATAAATAGCCATTATATTGATGAAATAGTGCTTAAAGTAGTGGATCAAGACGGAAATTTGGTTAATTTCAAAGGAGAAGTGATAACGATAAGAGTACATTTGAGGGAGCTTTAGTATGGTATTCTTTTACAATATTGCAGTACCGTTTAGTTCAGCTAACAACAATAGCACTAACAACAGCAATTTTAAAGGTCAAAGAGATCAACACCTATTGATAAAGAGATTCATGTTGGTAAAACAGTTAGTAGCAAACAAGAGAGCAAGACATTAACATCTGAAAAGATACAATTTCTACAGTTGCTTGGCTTTAAGGTGATTGCATAAGTGTGGCTAACGAATTTCAAGAACAAACAGTCAATAGTGACATTAATAGTAGCAACAGCAGCAGCAGGACTGCCGGATTGATATTACGCATAAAACTAGCAATTTATTCTGAACTACAAAAGTTATTCATCCATCTCAAGTGTAGCTGTTTGATAAAACAAAGAAAAAAAGATGAGCTTTAATATTCTCAACATAGGTGAAAATATTCTTATGGATAATTCAATTACCAATTGTGAAATGCATAGTCATCCACCATACGCTAACACAACTTTCAATAATTCAGATGAAATGAGAATACCAATACAAACACAAGATATCTATACACTACCTTGTAATAGCTCACTGTACATTGAAGGAAGATTAGTAGAGGCAAAGGAGAAGAAATGGTCACCAACATTACGCCTCGTAAATAATTTTGTATCATTTTTATTTGATGAATTGCGATATGAAATTGGAGGTATAGTTGTTGATAGAGTTCGCAATCCTGGTATAACAACCACCATTAAAGGACTGGTATCTTTCACAAACAATGAAAGTAATAGTTACCAACATGCAGGCTGGAATCATCAAGACTTACCCGAAATACGGAACAATGAAGGTTATTTTAGTGTAACGATTCCACTGAAAAATCTCATGGGTTTTTTTGAAGACTTTAAAAAAGTACTAATCAACATCAGACAGGAATTGGTCCTTATAAGAAGCTCCACAGATGTGAATGCAATTATAACTTCAACATCTAGCGAGAAACCTCATTTAGATCTGTACAGAATACTCGTACTATGGAGAATTCCACACATTCAAGTTGCTGATACCGAAAAATTACACCTTATGAAGTACATAGAGAAAGGAAGAGATTTACAACTAGCATTCCGGAGTTGGGAGTTGCATGAGTACCCCGTTTTACAACAGACAAATAAACATACATGGAATGTCAAGGCTACCAATCAATTGGAAAAACCACGTTTCGTTATTGTTGCTTTTCAAACTGATCGGAAAGGACAGCTGACTAAAAACTTGAGTCACTTTGATCACTGTAACCTGAGCAACATAAAATTATTTTTGAATTCTGAAATTTATCCATATGACAATGTAACTTTTAATATGAGCAGAAATTATTTTAGTATCTTGTATGAAATGTATGTGAACTTTCAGCAGTCTTATTATTATAGAAATTCCAGTGAGCCGTGTCAAAACTTGAAACAGTTCATTGATGCAACCCCGCTTTTTGTTATTGACTGTAGTAGGCAAAACGAGACACTAAAATCGGGTTCTGTTGATATTAGATTGGAATTTGAAACGGCAGTAAATATACCACCTAATACTACTGCCTTTTGTCTGATATTACATGATCGTCTTGTAAAATATAATCCATTAAATAGTACTGTAAAAGTTTTTTGAAAAATATGTTGAACTTGTATTATATAGAAACAGTGTGTATGTGTGTATGTATGTATGTGTCGGTGTGTGTGTGTTTTTCTGTGAATAAAACATTAGTTGTGAAGAAATCAGTTTTTTATTCAAAATATATTTTGTGACAATAACAATATGTCATCATCATCATTATCACCACCACCACCACCACGTCTACCAGTTGAGGTTGATGCTGCTGATGATGGTGTTGCACCAACCGTATGCATCTGCCTGGGCTGCTCCTCATGCTCTTCCTCCTTCTCCTCCTCATCCTCCTCATCCTCTTCCACATGTTGCAGGACAGGTGGCTCTAGATACAATTTTCTCTTTTTCTGCATACTTCCACCACCATCACCACCACCACTTGTCCCTGGTCGATCCTTTATCGCTTGCTGCCTATTAATATCTTCTAACTGCTCGTCTAATAAATTAAATCTATATTTTTTAACTATTCGTTCTAATACTTGGAATTCTGCATCTTTATCCAATTTAGTTCGAAGATATTTGATAGGCAGCAAGCCGAATTTCCGCTTTAACGTCGCTGCTCTTGGGGAGTAGGTCAATTTGACAAATATTTTGTCACCACTGGCTTTGATCTCTCTGACACCGTATCTGTTGAAAGAAAGAAAAAAGAATAAGAATAATATAATATGTGTATCTCAGACCTAAAAGTAAACTATTGTCGAATATCTGATTTAAATCTCCAATTGCAAATCGTGCAATTGCAATCAAATAAAACCATACAAAAAAAAACCCTGTAAACTCATGTTTTTCTCGCAATAATACTTTTGTGACTTAACATAATTTAGCTCTGAGGATATGATGAATAGAACTTGATATCTACTGGCACACCAGGTGATTGTTTTATTTATTTTGGGATGCTTTAGAGTGTCTTCAAACATGATCCATCCATCCACAACATTACCATAATGTGCGGAAGGACAACAATAATAACACAATAGCAATAGCAAAACAGTGGAGAGAGAGAGAGAGAGAACAAAAGATAAATATATAATGTTACTTACTGAAATAATTCCTTTATGACCAACAAGAGGTCATTTATCGGTAAATTCACTGGATCTTCCGTGAACACAATTATGGTTGTTGGTGTTGTTGCCATTGTAAGTTAGAGTAGCAGTTCGATGAGTTTTCACTTGAAACTGATACTGACTGCCTACACACACTAACAATTTATACAGATATTTGAGAAAAAAATCATCCATATCAACTGCATAGAAATGTAAGATGGATGTTATGATCAAACAAAATCGTAGGATTCCAGAATTGCATGATACCCAATGTCAGGAGAAGGACGACGACGGTAATCATCATCTACGTCATTCTCCATATCAAGGGAAAAATTAGATTTTTCTGCATGTGTGCATGTTTTCCAAACAAAATTGATATCCAATGTCAGGACGAGGACGACGACGGTAATCATCATCCACGTCATTCTCCATATCAAGGGAAAAATTAGATTTTGCTGCAGATGTGCATGTTTATCCAAACAAATACGTAGTATCTATTTAAGGTCAGGAGGAGGAGGGTCATCGTCGTTATTCTCCATGTGATCTGCTGATGTGCGTAGGATGTTTTCCAAACAAAATCGTATGATTCAGTATCAGTGAAAAAAAATAGGCATGTTTGTTAGATTTTCACTGTATTTAAGCCAGCATCTTGAGCACAGTTATCATCAGTGATCTCACGTTTAACCATCTGCACAGATCTCCGAAGATACAAAATGAGTAACCAAAAAGTAATCGATGCCATGTCTGACGAATTTGTTAGAAGAATAGAAATGGTGAGTAGATTAGTTAGGACAAAAACAGATTACAATTTTTATAGTAAAGAGATAAAAAAATGTATTAGAATGCTTGATAATTGTATCAAACATAGGTATGATTGTGTTAAAAATTTTTCAAAAATAGAGTCTAATTTGTCACTTCTTAAGAGTTACCTTGCAATTTTCAGATGTCAAATAAATCGTAAAAACAAAAATAGAGAACTTGTTTGGGAAAATGTGGATTCACGCTTTAACAATAGAATTAAGTCAGGCGTTATAGTTAATTTGAAAATAAAAGATCCAAAATTATTTTTCAAGAGAGCGTTCAAAAGTTTTGCGATACAAATAAGAAAACAGCTTGATACTTGTATGTTAAAATGTAACGTTGTTTTTTATAGTGTGTTCATTAAACCTCAGACTGCTGAAAGATCGATAAAACATTTTGCTACAAAAAATAATATAATCGATAAAAATACCAGTTTAAAAGAGTGGTATAAAGTTTATGTCACTGATCAAGTTTTAACAAAATTAGAAGAATCCCAAGAACGTGATTCTGGATGGGCTTTGTTGGAAATTTTACATTTGAAAGTGAATATTAATAGATTTTGTCCCATAAATGTTGGTGTTTCAACTTATGTTCCTACACCAACATTTATAAAAAAGAAAAAAAGTGCCATCAATATTCAAAATAATGATAATTACTGCTTTCTGTGGTCAGTTGTAAGCGCGTTGTATCCTGCAGAAAAAAATGTAGCACGACAATCGTCATATCCTCATTTCAGTAGAGTATTGAAATACGACAATATTAGATTTCCTAAACATTTGAAAGATATACCCAAATTTGAGATTATGAACAAACTAGCGATAAATGTCTTCACACTCGTAGGCAATCGAATGAATGAAGTTGTACCATTGATACTTAGTAAAACTAATTTCACGCCTAAAATCAATTTACTTATGTTTTCCAGTAATGATGTTTGCAATTGGAATGCTGACACTATTTATCATTTTGCGTATATAAAAAATTTGTCACGCCTAATATGTAGACAAATAGGTTGGAAAGATCACAAAAAATGGATTTGTGAAAGGTGTCTAAATTATTTTTCAAGTGAAGCTTATTTGAGTAAGCATTCTGAAGATTGTAAACAGCTTAACAGCACTAAGATCGTTATGCCTAATGCAACTAATAATATTATGAAATTTAAAAACTTTCACAATAAATTATGTGTTCCTTTTACCATTTATGCAGATATTGAAAGTATACTAATGGATTATAATGATAATGCTGATGATAATAGTGCAAGCAAGACACAAAAGTGTCAAAAGCACGTGGCTTTTAGCGTAACTTATTATCTTAAGTCGAATTATGGAAATAAATATTCTTCCAAGTTTAGATTGCATACGGGTGCTGATTGTCAAAGTTGGTTTGTTAATGAATTGCTCAACATTGCCAATGAACTTCATAAAGTTTATCAGGAAGCAGAACCATTAAAACTGACCAGTGTTGAGCAGAAACTTTTCCGATTGGCTTCCAGTTGTAGTATTTGTGAGAAACCTTTTGATGAACACGAAGTGAAAGCTAGAGATCATTGTCACTTCACAGGTAAATATAGAGAAGCAGTACATATGTCTTGCAACTTGAACTATTCAAATTCACTTATTGTACCTGTGTTGTTCCACAATTTTTCTGGATACGATGCACATTTCATAATCAAAGCTCTCAGCACTGATATCAAGGGCAATCTCACTTTATTACCTTTAAATAAAGAGCGTTATATTTCGTTTACAAAATCCATTGCCGGTACTAAAATCAGTTTTCGATTTTTTGATTCCTTCCGGTTCCTACCTAGTAGTCTGGATAAATTATCATCATATCTAGATCATCATCAAAAGAAAATAGTAAGGGAACATTTTCCTGAAGATGCTAAGTTTAAGTTGGTAACAAAGAAGGGGGTTTTTCCTTATGAATATCTAAATTCATGGGAGAAATTAAAAGATACAAAGTTGCCAGAAAAAGACGATTTTTTTAGCACAGTCAAAAACGAAGCTATTTCGACTGATGACTATCAGCATGCACTAAATGTTTGGCAGGCATTTAACATTAAAGATCTTCAGGAATACGCTGAATTATACTTAAAAACTGATGTTTTGCTGCTTTGTGATGTTTTCGAAAATTTCCGTCAAATGTGTATGCAGACATACAATTTAGATGCATTGCACTATTATACTACGCCAGGTCTAGCCTTTGATGCTATGCTTAAAGTCACTAATGTTGAAATAGAGCTGTTGACTGACAGTGATATGGCTTTGTTCATAGAAAAAGGAATCAGAGGAGGTATATCTCAATGTTTTAACAGGTACGGTAAGGCTAACAATAAATATATGAATAGTGAATATAATCCTGATTTACCAACTTCGTTTTTGATGTACTACGATATAAATAACTTATATGGAGCTGCAATGTCACATTCTCTACCATATGGGGATTTTCAGTGGATTCCAATTGAAAACATCTCTATTGAAAATATTTTGAGCGATGAGAAAAATGAATATGGGTACATCCTAGAAGTTGATCTACATTATCCTCTTCATTTACGCGATCTACACAAAGATCTGCCAATATGTCCTGAACATTTAGTACCACCTACTTCGTATTCTGATAAACCAAAATTGTTAACAACTTTGTACGATAAACAAAAGTATGTCGTCCATTATACATTACTAAAACAAGCTACGCAACTGGGTATTGTCATCAGAAAAGTTCATCGTTGTTTGAGATTCAAACAGTCAGCTTGGTTAAAAAAATACATTGATCTCAATACAGAGCTGAGAAAGCAAAGTAAGAATGATTTCGAGAAAAATTTTTTCAAATTAATGAAAATCGAAAATGTTAGGAAATATAAAGACATCAAGTTGGTAACTAAGTGGTCAGGAAGATATGGTGCAAGATACTACATTGCACAACCTAACTTTCATAGCTGCACTATATTTAGTAAAGATATGGTCATAATTGAAATGAACAGACTGAAAGCTACATTAAACAAACCAATTTTTATAGGTATGTCAATATTGGACATATCTAAAACTTATATATATGATTTTCATTACCATTACATAAAACACAAATTCAAAGATGATTCAAAATTGCTATATACTGATACAGATAGCTTAATATATCAGTTTTCAAATATTGATGACATTTACGAACACATCAAAAAAGACATTGATAGGTTTGATACATCCGATTATCCAGAAAATAACGCTTTTAGAATTCCATTGAGAAATAAAAAAGTCTTAGGTTTAATGAAGGATGAAAATCAAGGTCGAATAATGACACATTTTATTGGGTTGCGTTCAAAAATGTATGCTTTGAGACTTCTACCTGAGCCAGGTGAAAAAAAAGCCTCGCATGTTATTAAAAAAGCTAAAGGAATTCAGAAGTCAGCTCTGAAGGAAATAACGTTTGATGATATGATGACGATAAAAGAATTGTCAACTATATTTATACAGACACGAAACCATCACTACATTTCATTATCTCTTTGTCTGTTTTTGTCCATAGAATTAATCTACAACCACGTTAACTTTAGCCACACACAATAAAATGTAAGTATATATATATATATGTATTCTTTTTTTTTGTTTTTTGTAGAACGTGCTAAGTTCAAAAAAAAGATTTCAAAAAATCCACTACACGAAACCCAACAAACGAATACGACCAACGACTATTTCTAAGAGACAGTACAACAACAACAACAACAACAACAACAACACTCACTCAGGAACTCAGTTCTGTGACAATTGTGGACATTACTTTTGTTTTTGTAGAGAATCGGTGGCAAAGCATTCAATAGGACAAACGGCATCAGATCAGCAACAACAACAACAACAACAACAACAACAACAAAGGACGACTAGAAAGGATGTCTGATGAGCGGTGGCGGCAAGAGAGCGGATGGATTCCTGGCAAATCTTTTTATTCGAGAAAAGGACCCCAAAGAAAGAGAAGTTGGACATACGCTATAGCACACGTCATCGAGGTGACCAGATGTGGTGTATGTGGAAAAATTATACATGAACGACCAGCGACCGCCGTAAATGGCTGGGAACCACAGAATGCATTTGTCAGATTTTGTCCTGTTTGCTTTCAAGCGAGACCCGGCATCCAAGAAAAAAGAACAGATTGGGTAAAATATTAAAACAATAAATACGTCTTCAAAAAAATATCCTTTCTTTATTGCTCCCCTTCCCTTCCCTCACTTTTCATCATTAAGAGATTGTTTGAAAAATAAATACATTCACGCGCTGTAATCAGTTTCATTGTTGCTGCAGTGCAGTACTATTTGAACAAGATGAAAATTGTTAAACAAAAAACAACATTAGATATTGACAACAATGATATATTCAAAGATAAGTCTATCAAAAAACATGGCGAGCTGTTTCCTTCAACGTTGCGATGTATTATAGTTGGACCTTCTAATTGCGGAAAAACAAATCTTATGATCAATTTAGTTGAACATGAAAACGGGTTAAAATTTGAAAATGTTTATGTGTATTCAAAGTCTTTGTATCAACCAAAATATACATATTTGGCAGAATTATTAACACCAATAAAAGGGATAAAATATTTTCCATTCAATGCTAGTGACAACATTTTACACCCTTCAATGCCAAACCAAATTCCATATTTATTTTTGATGATGTCGCATGCGATAATCAAGATGTTATCAGAGAATATTTCAGCATGGGAAGACATAACAGTATAGATTCTTTCTACTTGTGTCAAACACATGCAAATATACCTAAACATCTAATAAGGGATAATGCCAATATCATTATACTTTTCAAGCAGGATGATTTAAACTTAAAACATATATAATGATCATGTTGGTTCAGATATGTCATTTGATAATTTTAAACGTATATGCACTGTATGTTGGGAAAATTCATATGATTTTTTAGTCATATTTAAAGACTGTAACATTGACAACGGTCGATATAGAAAGGGTATAGATCATTTTATTTATATGGATAATTCTCATCCGATGCGTTCAGAACAAATCGACAACTGATGAAAACCTGATCATCACCTGATCACAAGCCGTTCACCACCTGATCGAAGTCTAATTAGCACCTATGGGAAAACTTTTAACTGGAAGAAGTCTCAAAGAAAGACTTATATTGAAGCGTCAAAATGTTCGAAGAAAATTGTATCAACTGAAACATGGAGAAATGTTACAAGAAGCATGGGAAACTCCTAAAGCTATGTCTGAAGCACGTAAAAGAAAACTATTATCATTTCAATCAGTGACACCAAGAACAAGGACAATCGCTAACAGTGAGGAAAACTCTTATTATGATGACGATGATCCACCAAACAGCATAAAAAAATCAATCATAGACGGTATAAATTCTGATTATGAAGACAATGATTCGACTGGATCGGGTAATGATAATGTTGCTAATAGAAACAGATTTGATGATATTGCAGAAAAGTCATTTACTGAATACTTAGAACAATATGAGGACCCGTTACCTAGAAAATACATTAGTGAAATGTATGCAGACAAAAATAATCGAGAATTTGATCATAAGTATGGCGTCAGGCTGGATGACACTATTGAACAATTTATGATTGGTGATTCTAAACTAGACTTCAATGGTGCTGATATATAATTATGTGAAAGGTAAACGGTACAAGGGTAGTCAAGGCTTATACGAATTGTTATTTAGAAAATATCCCAACATGAATTTCTGCAGTTCTGACGATGTCAATACCTACAGGCAAATTGTATATAAAACTAATGCCCACAGAAGGTACTACAGATCTAATACTCAATTGGATGGGAGTAAACTACAAAAATATAAAAAAATCATAGCACCTCCTTTAAAAATGGGCCAAGGATTAATGAACAATAAAAATATTACCACGACAATGGAATATTCTAGCAATGATAAGGATTATATACTGGGATGATCCTAATGAACTTGTAAGTCGTCTACGCTTATTGATTGCATCACAGGCTGCCGGTCACTCAGGTCATGGTAATGAGATTAATTCGCTAGTTGAGGAATTAAGGAAAAGTAAATATATTGAATAATGGTTAAAACACATAAAACGAACATAAAACGCCAAGTTGTTGAAGAACTACATAAGCCTGCACGCAGAAATTTCAAAAGAAGAAAAACCATTGTGAAATCTCTACACGATCTTTTCCAAGCAGATCTTGTAGAAATGATACCATACTCGAGGGAAAATAAAAACAATAAATATATACTGGTTGTGATAAATTGTTTGTCGAAATTTGTTTGGGCTTTACCTTTACAAAATAAAACAGGTAAAGTGGTAACAAAAGCTATGGAAAGTGTACTAAAACAAGAAACACCTAAGAATCTACAAACAGACGCTGGATTGGAATTTTTCAATAATGATTTTAAAAACCTAATGAAGAAATATAATATCAATCACTACAATACATTCAGCGAAAAGAAGGCAGCCATTGTCGAAAGAGTAAATCGAACTTTAAAAAATATGATGTGGAAAGAGTTCAGTCTGCAGGGAAATTATAAATGGATAAGTATTTTACCAAAACTGGTAGAACAATATAACAATAAGAAGCATAGAACTATTCAAATGAAACCAGCTGATGTCACAAAGAAGGATGAAAGAAGGCTGTTATCTACTGTATATAATCGCTTGGAAATTGTAAACTTGGAAACAAAATTCAAAGTAGGTGATCATGTACGCATTTCTAAAATAAGAGGTGTTTTTGACAAAAAATATCAACCAAATTGGTCACCTGAAATTTTCACAATACGAAAAGTAACATTAACTAATCCAATTACATATTTGTTGAAAGATGAAAAAAATCAACATATTTTAGGAGGCTTTTATACAGAACAACTACAAAAGGTAAAACATCCTGATAGAAAAAATATTGGAAAAAAGGGAGACCATATCAAAGTCAGATGGTTGGGATTCGATAAGAAACATGACAGCTGGATACATAAAAAGAATATTACCTAACAAATAATCTCAGTTCATATACAGTCTTCTTGTGCAGCGTTTGCATTCGACATTCAACAGACAAAAAAAAATGATCATTATCGACGTTCAAGGCTTTACTTGTGGATCCAACTTCATTTGCAAAGAAATTGCTATCATGGATACTGCAACGGGATACTGGCAACACAAATTAGTTAATCTACCTGCAGAATTTACAATGCTCAACAGTAGCACACAGTCACATATCAACTGGACTGTAAACAATTTACATGGAATTTCTTGGGATCTATCTCCTTCTGAAGAGTCATGTCTTCATTATGAACAATTGACATCGTTCATTAAAGAAAATGTCCACGATGAACCAATTTTTGTCAAGGGACGCTCAAAACAACAATGGTTGGAAAGACTCATCACTAATCACATCACCAATCTACATGAAATAGGATGCCCAAATCTTCGCAAGCTGAAGAAGATATTCCAGTACAAACATTGTTATAAACATTTGTATAATAATATGCATTGTGTTTTAGAAAATGTTCATTTATTATTTAATTGGAATCTTATATCTAATGCTTCAAACCAAAAATTGGAATGAATACAATATCACACTACCGCCGTCGTTTCATTTACTTCCCATATTATTATTATTAGTATTATTATTATTATTATGACTACAGGATGATTTAAATTAGGCTTGGCTAGGCGAGGCTTGTCTCTTGCATATGCATAAAGCTTTTCTCAATCACTACTCACTTTTGTGTGTCACATGGTATTTAGGCCTTTTTTTATGCATACATGACGTCACGTTTTGGCACATCTCACCCTCTGGTCATTGGCGATACACTTCTTGCATGTCTGCAAAGTCTTCAGATACCCAAGGTCAAATAGAGGGCAAACAGAACAGAACCTGATGGATGGGGACCAAGTGAGTTAGAATCGATGTTGTTCTACTACTCGGGTGGTTCTTTACGAATGAATTTTTGACGTAGATATACATGCAGTATATGGGTGCGTATGCAGTTTTGGGGTTCAAATGTTCCACAAAAAAAATCATAAGCAAATCAGCAAAATGATGAAAATAAACCATCCAAATAGTGGAACATGTTATGCATGATTCGGAAAATATGACGATATTGAGGTAACCATGAAGATGTAGACTCAATGTTCTTGAAAATTAACAAAATGTACCTATACGAGTACTCCCCTGACGTGCTCCATTCCCAAGTGTCACTACAGGCATCAACAAATCTCTGTATTCATAACTAGCATAACAATATACAAAAACTCTTTGTATTGCCAAATTCACATTATAACATGTTTTCATGAAACAAGATACCAACATTTTTTTAGTGGTCCGTGAAAGATGTGTCTCCCTCTCCTAATAATTGCACATTTCTCTAGAAATATGACCATTTCGGACTCTGACCTTCAATGGCCATCAATGCGTAGGAAGTCAAATGATGTTTTAAAACTATCACGATTTGGCCTGCTGTAGCCAGGAACGCATCAGTCTTACGTGGACTCGGCAGGTATCCTTTTAACCAGTGGTTTCAGTATTTACCCTGATAAGTATATCTTTGTGTATTTCAATGGTACATTACTACAACTGTGTAAAAAGCAACGTTTTTTAATAAAAAAGTCATGAATTGCATACAATATATAATAGGCTTTATTAATGTACCTTGATTTTGTTTTTTGGAGGTCGTGTACCTACGTATTTGTCACTACCCTGGCGTCAATTTTGTGGCACTGTTCATGTATACTGTATTTTATATTTCTTTCTACTTTCCACTTTGTGTCATTTATTTACAATAGAAAAATGTTATAAACAATGCATCCAACGGCTGAGACCAGCTATACGATTCTCCTGTTCCAAGACGGACGGGACTAACAATTTGGCAGCAGCGCAACGCTTAGGGGTCGACAGCACTGAGCGGGTGCTTTTAACAAATAAAAAATAATCGGAGGGTGTTATTGTGACTGTGTAGTGCAGTTAGAATTGAAAATCCTCATAATGTAAGTATATTTTTGTGAGTTATTTTTTGGGTTTGTTTTGTGTTATTGAAAATAATGTTGTCTTGCTTGAGTGTCACAATTCTTACAAATTCGGGGTGTTACTCTCACGGCAAAGCTACCGGGTAGTTTTCGACGTAATTAGTCACTATACAGCCATCTAAGTGGCAGTCGATCTTTCTTCCTCGAATTCATACAAGGGCGGCAGAGTGCAAAGTTTTTCGTGTGAAAACTTATCACTCTCAGCGTTCCAAAAACTTCAAGTATATATTTGATTTTGTTGTTGGGTTTGTACTCTCTATACAAAGGACACACATATTAAATATGGTATCAGAAAAAAGGTTCGGATCCAATACTTTACTTTCTGTGAAAGTAGGCGGGAAAGCATTATCGCGAAAAATTTTGAACTTCAGATAATGCGTATTTTGGATGTTTGTGTCCGTTTGTCTGTCGTAACATATTTATTTATGTCGTCTGATATTTGACCCCCTGTAACTCGAAAAGTACTAATGGCATTTTGACAAAATCCTGAAAGAGAAACTTTTATAGTTTTTGGAAATCAGTATACTGGCGGCAGAAATGAAACGAAAAAAATATTTTGTGAGAGAATTAGGGATGGGGGAGGGATGGGGGAGGGACGGGGCAGGTACTTCTAACTAATTGTGGTTATAGTTTCTATTATTCATAACTGTTCGTCCCTGAGTGTTCGTAACACCTGCTGGCCGTATACGATCGTTACGCATTTGCCTTGTATAGGGTAGTAGGTGTTAGGCACCTTATTATTTTATATTCGGGTACGGAAAAGGAACAGCAAAAAAACACATTGCATGCTACTGCAGGTTATCTTCCTTTTCCGTACCAGGGTATAGACATGTATATCTCAAGGTGTAATAATATGCTTCTATTGCAGATGTGTCAACCATCGCGTGCGCTCTCATGCAAAGTTATCGTTGTATAATCGGAACACTTGAGATATCTGTAATAAATCCTTATTGTTAACACGTTGAAGGACAGTAGACGATACCGGGTTGGTGCTAAAAATGGCACTTGTGTTTTTCAATGAATTACAAATCGGAATGTCATGATTAGTCTAGAAAATATCTTACAATTCCGAAAAAAAATTGACAATGTTGAGCTTTTTGATTTTGACGTCTATATACGTCCTGTCAATTCTTAGGTGAAATTTTTTCTATATTTCGTCAGGACGCCGATAGACGTCAATAGTTTAAAAAGGGTAATATAGGTATTATAATGAAACAACAACCATAAAAAGGAAATATTTTATTCTATAGTAACCTGTCTTCAACAAAGTCCAAAGAAAATAAAACAAATATTCATTACATATGATAGAAGTATTATCGGTCGTTCACTGGTCGTGCCATTCTTCAAAACAAGCTGGGCAAAGAGGCGGTTTTTCTTTACAGCCTTTACATCTAAAACTGGTTTCCCGTCGTATATTTTTTTTAGTGCACATTCTACACTTCAAAAATACGGATTTTTTCAGAGACTTGGCTCCAGGGGTTCCCGGATTTTTTTCCGGCTAATGTCCTTTCATTCCCTGCGCAATATGTTGAACTTGATCTGATTGTTCAAAACGGCGGCTGTCATGTTTTTGTATACGACGAATATTTCGTCCTTCTATATCTACAGGTAGCTTGATTAGAGATTTGATTAGGTTATCTCTAAATTGCACGAAACGGTATTTACGTGAATCGCCTTTGCAAAATTTTCTATACAGAAAAAAAGAATTCCACGTAGTCAAGTCAAGCAGATACAACATTGTCTTTTTATACCATCTAATGGTTTTCCTTGTAGTGGTATAGGTTGCTGTCATCTGATCGCATGGATCAATACCTGACATGTGTTCGTTATATGTTGCTACTTCTTCGGGCTTATTTTTTTCTTTCCCATACCTATTCCTTACTGTGATCATGCGTGGATGATTTCTGGTGGTTATCACTAGAACTTCTCGTTTATCTTTCCATTTGGCCACATACACTTGCTTTTTTCTCATCCAAAAATGTTCACCGCGCTTCAATTTTTTCTTTACTAGAGCCTTTGGATTACCTCGACGATTAGGCCTGAGTGTACCATTAGTATGCGTTTTTAGTCTCAATAGTTTTTCGGACAACGAAACACTGTTATAGTAATTATCCATGAATAATTCGTGCCCTTTCAGTAGGTAAGGTTTCATTAGCCGCAGAACTAACTTTTCTGTTAAAGTAAAATGGCCATCGTTTTCTTTTTCTGTTTTGCCGTTATCGTTAGTATGGTCACTGCTGTGTCCACTATACATTTCCATATTCAACACGTATCCATCAGATGTCGTCAACTCATAAAATTTTATTCCGTAGCGGTCTTTCTTGTTCTTGATGTAGACCCTAAATCCGAGCCTGCCTCGAAAATGTAGCAACGATTCATCTAGAGACAATTCTCTGGTGGGTCCATAAGCTTTTTGATAATGATCAATAAGCATGTCTAAAAGCATCTGAATTTTTGCTTTTCCTTTTGATTTTGGCGCTGAACAGCATAAAACCCTAAGTATATGCTCAAACCTTCTTGCGGACATAACGAAAAGGAATATCGGGTGATAATAAAGTATGTCTTTGTAGGAAAAAAATCGTCGAACGTTGGTGGTCGAAACTTGTCCTTGCAGCAAACAAAGGCCAAGAAAGGCTTTCATTTCATCAATGGTTATTGCTCGGTAATTTGCTGACCTGCTGTGCCTAGTTTTTGGCCTATTTGTTTTCGATAGTAACTCTCCGTAATCGTTTGAGCACTGTACTATGTATTCTAATATTTGCGGCGTGAAGAGAAATTCAAAAACTTCAAGGGGTGTAGAAGTTTCATCAATATTCACTTTGACACCTACACTGTTCTCATCAAAGTCAAAAACGAGAATTGGCGCTCTTGTGGTTTCCCATGATGATTCGGATTCGTCGCCATCATCACTCTGCCTTTCAGGATGCTTTCCTCATCGTTATCTTCTTCTGATGATGTATGGTTGAATAATAATTCCTGTTCCTGGTATCGACTTGGACCTGCTTCTTCTGCATCGGTATCTGAAGATTCATTTGGCTCGTAATCTGGATCTGAACTACCATCGCTGTCATGAAATGGGTCGATTTCCTCATCGTCGCTAGAGAGCTCGTCGAATAGTTGTTGCAACCTTCGCTGTTCCCGTTCGTAAGGATCATTGGCACCACTCATCTAAAATAAATAAAACAATATGAAATACTTTTTTATCAGATGTATGAAAACGACAAGAGTGTTTTATTTTTGTAGAATTATTAGATACTAACTATAATGACACCACATAACCTTACATAGTTATTACAAAACAATAACGTTGGAAAGGAATGAAGTATTTAGAAAGACTTAGTACAAAACGTATCATAAATAGAGTTACTACTTACATGGCCATAAAAACTGCACTACACAAATAAATCTCGAAAAATAGGAAACACGTGGTCGGTCCCGCGTAAAAATAGGATGGTATCGGAAGAATCATACGTCCACCTTGGCACCAGAAGAATGACTAACTAGATTTGCATGGATCGCTGGACGTCTATCGGCGTTCTGTGTAAATTTGGAGAGAAAGGGTAGTTCCATAAGGAGTGGGGGAGACACATCAGTGTAAAGCATTTTTAGCATAACAAAAGCGGCAGTATTCTGATATCGTTAGTGCCAAATGTGGCAGTAGGCTACCATGTTTAACATTCGGTATGGCAAATGGGACGCCAATAAACGTCCTGCCTTTTACTGCCAGAATAAGTTCAGACGTCACACGGCGTTCTGGCAGAATTTACCACGCCATGGAGGACGTCAATCGGCGTTACTGTCCTTCAACGTGTTAATATAAAAGAATCAAGCAAATAGATCATCACAACACTATTTAAGGTGTGTACCTTGAAAATACCGGCATAATAAACGATACACATCCAGCTCTGCCGGTCTCACAAGCTGGCGTTTGCTTTAGAATGTTTATTATATAATACGTAATAATATGCAGGAATCGAAGATACAGACCCCAAAAGTACAGCGATGGGGAGTGGAAGATGTGGTGGGCACAATATAATACAGGCGTCACCCACTACTGCGATTACGAGGAAGTTAGAGCAGATTTATTCACTGCTCCACTAGATTACTCGTTGGGACATTGTGTTTCGCAAGATCTGCAAATGTCGCGAGGCATCGCTAAAATATTTAGGTATAGTATAGTTAAACAAGATAAGAAAGTTTCTGATGGTAAAGCTCACAATTTCAGGCAAAAATACGGCGGCCTGGAGGAACTTCGTGCCCAACATCTAGCTCCGGGAGGAGTCGGCGTCCTCAAACGTGAGGGTAGATTGTTGTTCTACATGGTAACAAAAAAACATTTTTGGGGAAAGCCCACTTATCGAACTATATTTTTGGCGTTGCGTCGCGTACGCGAGTATGCCAACGTATACGGTGTAAACAAAGTGGCCTTCCCCAGAATTGCATGCGGTCTGGACAGGAAGAACTGGGGAGTCATCTCTAAGATAATAAAATTTGTTTTTCAAGATACTGAAATAGCAATAAAAATATATGTGATGTGATATCGTCTGTATTCCTAAAAAACCTGACTAGAGGCCCTGAATGTAAAGATTCTTCAGTCAAACAACGGCACAAACCCTATTTTCAAATTTCCATGTGCGTTTCGTATAGGTAACTTTCGCTCCCTCTGGTAGGCTTAATATGCCCCGGCCACGAGATGTAATCGATCCCGGATATGAAGGATGCATTGTAGCATTGATTTTCGTGAAAAAAAAAAGTGGTGTTGATTTGAAGAAAAATTGAGTATTTTAATTTTCAAATTTCCATGTGCGTTTCGTATAGGTAACTTTCGCTCCCTCTGGTAGGCTTAATATGCCCCGGCCACGAGATGTAATCGATCCCGGATATAAAGGATGCATTGTAGCATTGATTTTCGTGAAAAAAAGTGGTGTTGATTTGAAGAGAAATTGAGTATTTTAATTTTCAAATTTCCATGTGCGTTTCGTATAGGTAACTTTCGCTCCCTCTGGTAGGCTTAATATGCCCCGGCCACGAGATGTAATCGATCCCGGATATTAAGGATACATTGTAGAATTGATTTTCGTGAAAAAAAGTGGTGTTGATTTGAAGAAAAATTGAGTATTTTAATTTTCAAATTTCCATGTGCGTTTCGTATAGGTAACCTTCGCTCCCCCTGGTAGGCTTAATATGCCCCGGCCACGAGATGTAATCGATCCCGGATATGAAGGATGCATTGTAGAATTGATTTTCGTGAAAAAAAAAGTGGTGTTGATTTGAAGAAGAATTGAGTATTTTAATTTTCAAATTTCCATGTGCTTTTCGTATAGGTAACTTTCGCTCCCTCTGGTAGGCTTAATATGCCCCTGCCACGAGATGTAATCGATCCCGGATATGAAGGATACATTGTAGCATTGATTTTCGCGAAAAAAAAGTGGTGTTGATTTGAAGAAAAATTGAGAATTTTAATTTTCAAATTTCCATGTGCCTTTGGTATAGGTAACTTTCGCTCCCTCTGGTAGGCTTAATATGCCCCGGCCACGAGATGTAATCGATCCCGGATATGAAGGATGCATTGTAGAATTGATTTTCGTGAAAAAAAAGTGGTGTTGATTTGAAGAAAAAATGAGAATTTTAATTTTCAAATTTCCATGTGAGTTTCGTATAGGTAACTTTCGCTCCCTCTGGTAGGCTTAATATGCCCCGGCCACGAGATGTAATCGATCCCGGATATGAAGGATGCATTGTAGAATTGATTTTCGTGAAAAAAAGTGGTGTTGATTTGAAGAAAAATTGAGAATTTTAATTTTCAAATTTCCAGGTGAGTTTCGTATAGGTAACTTTCGCTCCCTCTGGTAGGCTTAATATGCCCCGGCCACGAGATGTAATCGATCCCGGATATGAAGGATGCATTGTAGCATTGATTTTCGTGAAAAAAAGTGGTGTTGATTTGAAGAAAAATTGAGTGTTTTAATTTTCAAATTTCCATGTGCGTTTCGTATAGGTAACTTTCGCTTCCTCTGGTAGGCTTAATATGCCCCGGCCACGAGATGTAATCGATCCCGGATATGAAGGATGCATTGTAGCGATCCCGGATATGAAGTGGTATTGATTTGACGAAAAATTGAGAATTTTAATTTTCAAATTTCCATGTGCGTTTCGTATAGGTAACTTTCGCTCCCTCTGGTAGGCTTAATATGCCCCGGCCACGAGATGTAATCGATCCCGGATATGAAGGATGCATTGTAGAATTGATTTTCGTGAAAAAAAGCGGTGTTGATTTGAAGAAAAATTGAGAATTTTAATTTTCAAATTTCCATGTGAGTTTCGTATAGGTAACTTTCGCTCCCTCTGGTAGGCTTAATATGCCCCGGCCACGAGATGTAATCGATCCCGGATATGAAGGATGCATTGCAGCATTGATTTTCGTGAACAAAAGTGGTGTTGATTTGAAGAAAAATTGAGAATTTTAATTTTCAAATTTCCATGTGCGTTTCGTATAGGTAACTTTCGCTCCCTCTGGTAGGCTTAATATGCCCCGGCCACGAGATGTAATCGATCGCGGATATGAAGGATGCATTGTAGCATTGATTTTCGTGAAAAAAAAGTGGTGTTGATTTGAAGAAAAATTGAGAATTTTAATTTTCAAATTTCCATGTGAGTTTCGTATAGGTAACTTTCGCTCCCTCTGGTAGGCGTAATATGCCCCGGACACGAGATGTAATCGATCCCGGATATGAAGGATGCATTGTAGAATTGATTTTCGTGAAAAAAAAGTGGTGTTGATTTGAAGAAGAATTGAGTATTTTAATTTTCAAATTTCCATGTGCTTTTCGTATAGGTAACTTTCGCTCCCTCTGGTAGGCTTAATATGCCCCGGCCACGAGATGTAATCGATCCCGGATATGAAGGATACATTGTAGCATTGATTTTCGTGAAGAAAAAGTGGTGTTGATTTGGAGAAAAATTGAGTATTTTAATTATCAAATTTCCATGTGCTTTTCATATAGGTAACTTTCGCTCCCTCTGGTAGGCTTAATATGCCCCGGCCACGAGATGTAATCGATCCCGGATATGAAGGATGCATTGTAGAATTGATTTTCGTGAAAAAAAAGTGGTGTTGATTTGAAGAAAAAATGAGAATTTTAATTTTCAAATTTCCATGTGAGTTTCGTATAGGTAACTTTCGCTCCCTCTGGTAGGCTTAATATGCCCCGGCCACGAGATGTAATCGATCCCGGATATGAAGGATGCATTGTAGAATTGATTTTCGTGAAAAAAAGTGGTGTTGATTTGAAGAAAAATTGAGTGTTTTAATTTTCAAATTTCCATGTGCGTTTCGTATAGGTAACTTTCGCTTCCTCTGGTAGGCTTAATATGCCCCGGCCACGAGATGTAATCGATCCCGGATATGAAGGATGCATTGTAGCGATCCCGGATATGAAGTGGTATTGATTTGACGAAAAATTGAGAATTTTAATTTTCAAATTTCCATGTGCGTTTCGTATAGGTAACTTTCGCTCCCTCTGGTAGGCGTAATATGCCCCGGCCACGAGATGTAATCGATCCCGGATATGAAGGATGCATTGCAGCATTGATTTTCGTGAAAAAAGTGGTGTTGATTTGAAGAAAAATTGAGAATTTTAATTTTCAAATTTCCATGTGCGTTTCGTATAGGTAACTTTCGCTCCCTCTGGTAGGCTTAAGATGCCCCGGCCACGAGATGTAATCGATCGCGGATATGAAGGATGCATTGTAGCATTGATTTTCGTGAAAAAAAAGTGGTGTTGATTTGAAGAAAAATTGAGAATTTTAATTTTCAAATTTCCATGTGAGTTTCGTATAGGTAACTTTCGCTCCCTCTGGTAGGCGTAATATGCCCCGGACACGAGATGTAATCGATCCCGGATATGAAGGATGCATTGCAGCATTGATTTTCGTGAACAAAAGTGGTGTTGATTTGAAGAAAAATTGAGAATTTTAATTTTCAAATTTCCATGTGCGTTTCGTATAGGTAACTTTCGCTCCCTCTGGTAGGCTTAATATGCCCCGGCCACGAGATGTAATCGATCGCGGATATGAAGGATGCATTGTAGCATTGATTTTCGTGAAAAAAAAGTGGTGTTGATTTGAAGAAAAATTGAGAATTTTAATTTTCAAATTTCCATGTGAGTTTCGTATAGGTAACTTTCGCTCCCTCTGGTAGGCTTGATATGCCCCGGCCACGAGATGTAATCGATCCCGGATATAAAGGATGCATTGCAGCATTGATTTTCGTGAACAAAAGTGGTGTTGATTTGAAGAAAAATTGAGAATTTTAATTTTCAAATTTCCATGTGCGTTTCGTATAGGTAACCTTCGCTCCCTCTGGTAGGCTTAATATGCCCCGGCCACGAGATGTAATCGATCCCGGATATGAAGGATGCATTGTAGAATTGATTTTCGTGAAAAAAAAGTGGTGTTGATTTGAAGAAAAAATGAGAATTTTAATTTTCAAATTTCCATGTGAGTTTCGTATAGGTAACTTTCGCTCCCTCTGGTAGGCTTAATATGCCCCGGCCACGAGATGTAATCGATCCCGGATATGAAGGATGCATTGTAGAATTGATTTTCGTGAAAAAAAGTGGTGTTGATTTGAAGAAAAATTGAGTGTTTTAATTTTCAAATTTCCATGTGCGTTTCGTATAGGTAACTTTCGCTTCCTCTGGTAGGCTTAATATGCCCCGGCCACGAGATGTAATCGATCCCGGATATGAAGGATGCATTGTAGCGATCCCGGATATGAAGTGGTATTGATTTGACGAAAAATTGAGAATTTTAATTTTCAAATTTCCATGTGCGTTTCGTATAGGTAACTTTCGCTCCCTCTGGTAGGCGTAATATGCCCCGGCCACGACATGTAATCGATCCCGGATATGAAGGATGCATTGCAGCATTGATTTTCGTGAAAAAAGTGGTGTTGATTTGAAGAAAAATTGAGAATTTTAATTTTCAAATTTCCATGTGCGTTTCGTATAGGTAACTTTCGCTCCCTCTGGTAGGCTTAAGATGCCCCGGCCACGAGATGTAATCGATCGCGGATATGAAGGATGCATTGTAGCATTGATTTTCGTGAAAAAAAAGTGGTGTTGATTTGAAGAAAAATTGAGAATTTTAATTTTCAAATTTCCATGTGAGTTTCGTATAGGTAACTTTCGCTCCCTCTGGTAGGCGTAATATGCCCCGGACACGAGATGTAATCGATCCCGGATATGAAGGATGCATTGCAGCATTGATTTTCGTGAACAAAAGTGGTGTTGATTTGAAGAAAAATTGAGAATTTTAATTTTCAAATTTCCATGTGCGTTTCGTATAGGTAACTTTCGCTCCCTCTGGTAGGCTTAATATGCCCCGGCCACGAGATGTAATCGATCGCGGATATGAAGGATGCATTGTAGCATTGATTTTCGTGAAAAAAAAGTGGTGTTGATTTGAAGAAAAATTGAGAATTTTAATTTTCAAATTTCCATGTGAGTTTCGTATAGGTAACTTTCGCTCCCTCTGGTAGGCTTGATATGCCCCGGCCACGAGATGTAATCGATCCCGGATATAAAGGATGCATTGCAGCATTGATTTTCGTGAACAAAAGTGGTGTTGATTTGAAGAAAAATTGAGAATTTTAATTTTCAAATTTCCATGTGCGTTTCGTATAGGTAACTTTCGCTTCCTCTGGTAGGCTTAATATGCCCCGGCCACGAGATGTAATCGATCGCGGATATGAAGGATGCATTGTAGCATTGATTTTCGTGAAAAAAAAGTGGTGTTGATTTGAAGAAAAATTGAGAATTTTAATTTTCAAATTTCCATGTGAGTTTCGTATAGGCAACTTTCGCTCCCTCTGGTAGGCGTAATATGCCCCGGACACGAGATGTAATCGATCCCGGATATGAAGGATGCATTGCAGCATTGATTTTCGTGAACAAAAGTGGTGTTGATTTGAAGAAAAATTGAGAATTTTAATTTTCAAATTTCCATGTGCGTTTCGTATAGGTAACTTTCGCTCCCTCTGGTAGGCTTAATATGCCCCGGCCACGAGATGTAATCGATCGCGGATATGAAGGATGCATTGTAGCATTGATTTTCGTGAAAAAAAAGTGGTGTTGATTTGAAGAAAAATTGAGAATTTTAATTTTCAAATTTCCATGTGAGTTTCGTATAGGTAACTTTCGCTCCCTCTGGTAGGCTTGATATGCCCCGGCCACGAGATGTAATCGATCCCGGATATGAAGGATACATTGAAGCATTGTTTTTCGTGAAGAAAAAGTGGTGTTGAATTGAAGAAAAATTGAGTATTTTAATTATCAAATTTCCATGTGCTTTTCGTATAGGTAACTTTCGCTCCCTCTGGTAGGCTTAATATGCCCCGACCACGAGATGTAATCGATCGCGGATATGAAGGATGCATTGTAGCATTGATTTTCGTGAAAAAAAAATGGTGTTGATTTGAAGAAAAATTGAGAATTTTAATTTTCAAATTTCCATGTGAGTTTCGTATAAGTAACTTTCGCTCCCTCTGGTAGGCTTGATATGCCCCGGCCACGAGATGTAATCGATCCCGGATATGGAGGATACATTGAAGCATTGTTTTTCGTGAAGAAAAAGTGGTGTTGATTCGAAGAAAAATTGAGTGTTTTAATTTTCAAATTTCCATGTGCGTTTCGTATAGGTAACTTTCGCTCCCTCTGGTAGGCTTAATATGCCCCGGCCACGAGATGTAATCGATCGCGGATATGAAGGATGCATTGTAGCGATCCCGGATATGAAGTGGTATTCATTTGACGAAAAATTGAGAATTTTAATTTTCAAATTTCCATGTGCGTTTCGTATAGGTAACTTTCGCTCCCTCTGGTAGGCGTAATATGCCCCGGCCACGAGATGTAATCGATCCCGGATATGAAGGATGCATTGCAGCATTGATTTTCGTGAACAAAAGTGGTGTTGATTTGAAGAAAAATTGAGAATTTTAATTTTCAAATTTCCATGTGCGTTTCGTATTGGTAACTTTCGCTCCCTCTGGTAGGCTTAATATGCCCCGGCCACGAGATGTAATCGATCGCGGATATGAAGGATGCATTGTAGCATTGATTTTCGTGAAAAAAAAAGTGGTGTTGATTTGAAGAAAAATTGAGAATTTTAATTTTCAAATTTCCATGTGAGTTTCGTATAGGTAACCTTCGCTCCCTCTGGTAGGCGTAATATGCCCCGGCCACGAGATGTAATCGATCCCGGATAAGAAGGATGCATTGCAGCATTGATTTTCGTGAACAAAAGTGGTGTTGATTTGAAGAAAAATTGAGAATTTTAAATTTCAAATTTCCATGTGCGTTTCGTATAGGTAACTTTCGCTCCCTCTGGTAGGCTTAATATGCCCCGGCCACGAGATGTAATCGATCGCGGATATGAAGGATGCATTGTAGCATTGATTTTCGTGAAAAAAAAGTGGTGTGGATTTGAAGAAAAATTGAGAATTTTAATTTTCAAATTTCCATGTGAGTTTCGTATAGGTAACTTTCGCTCCCTCTGGTAGGCTTGATATGCCCCGGCCACGAGATGTAATCGATCCCGGATATGAAGGATACATTGAAGCATTGTTTTTCGTGAAGAAAAAGTGGTGTTGATTTGAAGAAAAATTGAGTATTTTAATTATCAAATTTCCATGTGCTTTTCGTATAGGTAACTTTCGCTCCCTCTGGTAGGCTTAATATGCCCCGGCCACGAGATGTAATCGATCCCGGATATGAAGGATGCACTGTAGAATTGATTTTCGTGAAAAAAAAGTGGTGTTGATTTGAAGAAAAATTAAGTATTTTAATTTTCAAATTTCCATGTGCTTTTCGTATAGGTAACTTTCGCTCCCTCTGGTAGGCTCAATATGCCCCGGCCACGAGATGTAATTGATCCCGGATATGAAGGATGCATTGTAGCATTGATTTTCGTGAAAAAAAAGTGGTGTTGATTTGAAGAAAAATTGAGAATTTTAATTTTCAAATTTCCATGTGCGTTTCGTATAGGTAACTTTCGCTCCCTCTGGTAGGCTTAATATGCCCCGGCCACGAGATGTAATCGATCCCGGATATGAAGGATGCATTGTAGAATTGATTTTCGTGGAAAAAAAGTGGTGTTGATTTGAAGAAAAATTGAGAGTTTTAATTTTCAAATTTCCATGTGCGTTTCGTATAGGTAACCTTCGCTCCCTCTGGTAGGCTTAATATGCCACGGAATGTGATAGATAGTGTGATAACACTGACAACACACCATGTATATAATTTTGTGTAGATACTATAACACCGTTTTACATGGGAAGACGGTGCCGCACCGCCTGCTTAGGCTGCCCGTCCAGTGGACGCGTTTTCGCGCGAAGAGGCGAACGGCGAAATCACAAGTTTTCGCTTCTTCACGTCCATTGCAAGCGATCTGCCGCGCTCGCGAAGACGCGAACTCAGTCACCTCTCATCTCCGTGTACGAACGCAGAATGCCGCTCTCAGAATTTTTGCTATTATATGCATTGGATTCACCCGTTCTAATGAGAAGAAGAAGAAAGATGAGTCGGAAAATGAGGCAGGAATGGGTGAAGAACGTGTTTGTTCATCGAGAATGTGGAGAGTGGTTCCACCTGCAGAAGGATCTGTCGCCCGAAGGTTTTTTCAACTACTTCAGGATGGAAAAAAGCACCTTTGAATATATACATTCAAAGATTAAGGACCGAATTGAACGATTGTCCAACTTCAGAGACACAGTTTCTCCAGCAGAACGCCTTGCTGTCACGTTGAGGTAAGTTCGGTGATGATACTCGTATTATTATGCATCAAATTGTTGTATTTGGTAACAGTTAAAGGTGTTATTTCAATGGAAGTAGGTATATATTATTTTGTAGGTAGTTTTTTTTAAGGAAATGAAGTAGGTACTCAACATATTTTTTATTTCATTAAAAAACGCTATTCATTTGCCCCTTGCTACTGAAATTGATGAAAAGTTGGTGGATGCGCTCCGGCAGGATTGAAAGTACTGTAAAATTCTTGAAGGTTTGACGAAGATTCGCTGTGCAGAGAAGAAGGCGGCGAGGCCAGGGACGAAGTCATGTGCTGTGATGATAGGGGTGAACACTGAGGAGTGGTGTATTTCACGAGCACATTCATCATCTCCACTCGGGCCTGTAGTTTATGTGCATGCGGAACTTTTCGCAGATATGGCAGGAGACTCATTAAATATTGATAGTCATCATCTCTCATTTCGTCAGCAGCCTTTGAAAACAATGAAAACTTTTGCCTCTCAATATCCAAAAATTTGTCATCCATTTCATCTCTCTTTTGCTTTTTTCGGTTGCGTTTCAATGGGCTTTTGAATTCCGTTCTTTTCGTGGGTTCAATTACTTCAATTGTTTCATCTTGTGATAGTTGGTCATTGTTTTCATCAGGTTCATTTACAGAACTCTCAGATAAAGAGATACCGTCAAACTCTTCCTGTGACTCTGGGATGCTTGTTTGTGTATCCTTTGGCATCATGGTGTCAGATAAGAATTCCATTTGCGTGAAATAAGGTCAAAGTTTCGATAAGTCGGCGCCTTTCCCTGATTTTTCTTCCAAAACCTTTTTCAACTCCTTCCTGCCTCTCTCAGCCCTTTCCACTTCTTCTTGACATCATTCACTACAACAGAAAATATCGCAAAAAAATAAAACGTTAAAATATTGTGGTGTATTTTTTTATGTTTCTTTTTACAGGTGCCTAGCTACCGGTTCGTCTTTCATCTCATTAAGCTATTCGTTTCGGATCTCCGAAGTGACCATCGGACGCATCGTACATGAAACTTGTCAAGTGATTTGGGATAGCTTGCATGATGAACACATGCCCTTTCCATCTGACAATCAAGTTGACAACATCGTCTCTGAGTTTTGGGAAAAGTGAAAATTTCCCAACTGCGTTGGTTGCATAGACGGGATACACATTCGAATTAACAGTCCAGCTCATTCAGGAAGTATGTATTACAGTCACAAAAAGTTCTTTTCAATTATATTGCAAGGAGTGGTCGATGCGAATTATAAATTCATCTGCATTGATGTCGGAGCTTACGGAAAACAAAGTGACAGCGGAGTTTTTGGGCACTCACAATTGGCTCGAGCCCTAGAAATAGGTGCTCTTAAAACGAACACTTTGAAGATACTACCTGGTACTGACATAGAAGCACCACATGTAGTTATCGGGGATGGAGGATTTCCATTGAAGACGTATTTACTGCGTCCTTACCCACTGAGAGGTTTAACCACTGAGCAAGAGAACTATAACAAACGTTTGTCAGGTGCAAGGCAAGTTGTCGAGTGTGCTTTCGGTATAATTTCTCATAAATGGCGTATTCTACTCAAGGCTATTGAGATCAAGCCCGAGAGAGCTGAACACATTGTGAAATGTATTTGCCTACTGCACAACATTGTCATCAATAAAGAAGGTCCCAGTGATATGATTCCGGGAACCTCTCCTCTGTCACTTCACTGGAACACCTCTCATTCGTCGTTTTCTGGAAGGGCAACCAACCGTGGCTCACATTCCTCAATGCAAGTAAGGGAAACATTCAAAATGTTCTTCTCCCGGCAAGGTGATATAGAAACGACTAATTAGGTAGGTAGGTACCAAAAAATTTTGTGACCTTATGTGTAACGAGAAAGAACTCATATTATATGTTTGTACTCAATAGCCTTTTAAAATAATAAAAAAGTCGAAAAAACAAAATTAAGTTGAAAATTAATAGGACTTTGATTATTATTATACTTCACTTGAAGTCACTTGAAATACCGGGTGCGTTTTATTTAAATAAGGAAATAGTAAAATCCATTTATTGTGATATAAAATCATTATTATTATCATTCTAAATAAATAATGACCGCACCCCTATGATACGTCATGAAATTACAACGGACGCGCCACCAAAGGTTTTTATGCTATTTCAAGTGACTTCAGATAAAGTATACCTGGCATCTTCATTTCCACTGCGATCTCCTCCCACAACTTGATATGCACATTCCGCATGTGGTATTGCGGCATCTTCTGGTTCCACAGGGATGGTCTATCCTGCACCAAAACTATCAATTTTTCAACGTCCATCGCTGCCCACTTCGCCTTTGTTTTTGTTGTAGTCTTGTTTCTAGTTGTTTCCTTTAAAGAGACTGTGAAGTGTGATTAGAAATAACTATGGTTAGGGATGAAGATTTTTTTATTCTTGCTTCTGGTTGGTTTTATTTGCGAAATTTGGAAAAGAGGTAAGTATAGGCATATACCTAGTGTAATGCAATACATTTTTAATAATGGCTTTGTTTTTAGAAAGAAACGACGACACAGATATTGGGTGAGTTAATTTCTATCTAGGCGAGAAAGTGATGGCGCTACTCAATTAATGAAAGAACTTTTAGTGGATAACATAGGATTAAATGGAGAGTTACTCTCATCGTTTCAGAATTTTGTAAGAATGTGTAGCACTGATTTCGAGGAATTATTAATGTTAATTGGCAGTAAAATTGCCAAACAAAATACAAACTTTAGAGATTCGATTTCAATTAAAGATCGTTTGGCTGTAACATTAAGATACCTTGCTACTGGTGATAGCTTCCAAAGTCTAATGTATCTATCTAAAATATCAGTTACTGCAATTTCACGAATAGTACCAGAAGTATGTGAAGCTTTAAATGAGGTTCTTCAGAATTAAATAAAGGTATGAAAATGTCTTTTATTAAAAAAACTAATAACATAATTAGTAACAATTTAACAGTACTTAGAAAAAATTAACATTAAAACGGGTTTTGAAAAGCTGATGTAAAAGCCCTATGCAAAATATTGCTGTTTTCTTCTAGTATTGAATCATCTCTATATTCTTCATATTCTGGCCTAGGGTTATCACATACTGCTCTATTCGCCGATATGTCTGTTAGATAAGATGCCGTCGAATTTGAGGGTGATGGAACTTGTATACAATTTCGCTCATTTGCCAGTGGTGAGGGAGAAGGCAATGGGGTAGAATTTTGAGGGTATTGAAATATACGAGCATCATATAATAAATCGGTTATTTTTTTTTGTACCGTTATTTTCGAGAACTCTGAATTTAAATTTCTAATATTATGTGCCACCATTTCTCCGAATATGTCATATTCATCACGGCCTCTGTTATCGTACACTGACTTCAGCATATGAAAAACTTGTGAACTTTCACTTTTCTCTTGTGTTTTTGCTTTAGTTTTGTTTTGTGTTTTTTGGAGAGTAGGTTTGCCCTTCTGTCTGGATTCTTCGAATATGTTACATTTATCATGCTTTCTGTTTTCACAAACTGATGTCTTCATTTGAAAATCCTGTGAACTTTTACTCATCTCCAATAGTTTTGGTGTGTTTTTAATTTGTGTTTTTTGCGGAGTAGGGTTATCCTTCCGTAATAAAAGGTCTTTTGCTGAAGCATTTGGATTTACTGCAGTAAGTTGCCCTGTTAAATCAGAAGTCGCATATTCAACGTCGCCGCTCGGTTCAGAAGTTTCTTGGGTATCCATTAAAATTTCATCATCAGATGATTCACTCGCCTGTAAAAAAAATTGTGTATTTAAATGTTTAACAAAGATAAAATGTTTTATATTTTTATAATCAAAACTATCATTTTTAGGTGCCGAGTACTGCTAAAGAATGGGAAAAAAACATTTAGTATAGTCCTATTTGCAGTAGTAGACGCACATTACAATTTTACGTATGTATACATAGGTTGCCAGGGTCGCATATCTGATGGTGGAGTTTTTAAGAATTCCGGGTTCGCAAAAAGCTTAAGAAAAGAAACTCTTAGTGCGGCCGCACAGCAAAGCGATACGCCACATTCATGCAACATTTACTTCGCCACAATTTCTATGCCTCGTTGGTGCTTGGAACAATTGTGTCTTATTACCGCACACCGGAAACACCATTTCTCGTGTAGCTTTGAAGTTAGTTAAAATGTCGACAACGTCATCGTCGGACGATGACGATTTTTTAATGTGGCAATTATCAAGAAGAAAAAGACGTTTTTGGGTTCATCCGTATAATGAAGATTGCACAATTCACGGAAATTTCATACTTTCACAACAGCTGAAATCTGACGAAGACAAATTCCAGTTATATCATCGAATGTCTCAAAATACATACCACTTATTATTGGATCTAGTTAAACCAAGTTTAACAAAACAAAATACCCACTACAGAGATTGCGTTCCTGCTGAAGAGCGCTTATTGATCACTATAAGGTAATTGTGCTAAATAAGTGTTTGGAAAATGAAATACACTTCTCAAATACATCATATTTGGGGAGTGCCATTTTCTAAGAGTTGTATTATTTTTGTGTTTTTAAGTCGTCAATTTAGTTTATTTAGGTAAATAAAATAATTTTGAACAATGTCATGAATGAATGTAACAGTTGATTCTGCCAAACAAGCGATCGATTTGAATACCATCAGAAAGTAGCAAAATGAACCGTATACAGGTTTATAAAAATCAAACGTTCACGATTAGTAAGTTTGTTATTAGTAAAAATATAAAATTGTTTAAATTGACAAAATTAGTAGCAAGTTACGAGTTGGACATTTTACATGGATATATTCCAATTTTTTGTTAGTTTTGAAAGTAAAAAGGGATATCGTGTAGGGAGGTATGCTAAGAAAAGTCCGATTTAGTTGCCCTTATATTTTAATACTCATAATACTGAATAAGTTTGCGTCTGTAGATTATCGAGGGATTGTTGTCGATCTTCAAGTCCATCATCTGTGGAACCTTGAGTCACTGAGGCTGATAACTGTTGAGTAGGAGGATCATGTAGAAATCGTTCAGAAAAGTTAGTGTAGAATGATGCTACATTTGGCAAATCTGCAGAATGATGATGTCTGCCTGAAGGCTGTCCATATTTAATCTTTTCTATTATCTCCAGTACTTCTCTTTGAAATATTAACTGTTGGTGTTGGGACATTGACGCCACATGTGGAACTAGACTTAAAAGAAATAGCTCGCACGGTTCTTTTTTGTGTGCCTCGGATTCTTTTTTATCCTCTAGCCTCTTTTTTTCAATGTAAAATATTCAATGGCACATTTATCTGGTTCAGTCATTTGTTTCCTACGAATAGCGGAAGTCGATGATTGAATTGTTGGTCGTGACGCAGTTGAAGAGCCTGGATTTGATGCAGACCAGCCAGCTATAGGTGACGGAACTTCATGTCTCAATAGATCTTCATCTACAGATGTGGCATCGGTTATCGTATTTAAAGATTGCTCTATATGAGGTTCAGGCTCAGAAAAATTGTTAGATTCTTGTTCATTGTCGTGTATTACGTTCGTTATATTACCTTCTTGACGTCGATTTTTAGTAAATGGATTTAGAAACTGCAAATATGTTGACAAGTAGTAGCCTTTTTTAGATCCAGCACCAGAACCACTTTTCGATTTTAAAGTTAGAGTTCTTATGTAGGCAGAACGAATCGATTTCCATTTTAACTTACAGTCATTACCTATAAAGAAATAATATGTATGGTCATTTCAATTTCACATTCACATATTCAACAATAGAAATTAACAATAATATCTTAGTAATAACTAACACATTTTTTAGGTATTTGGCTACAGGATCTTCATTTCGAGCAATGTCTTACATATTTAAAAGAGGTGAAACAACTATTGGAAAAATAGTTAATGAAAGTTGTGAAGCCATATGGAAAGTCTTACAACCGATTTATATGAAAAAACCAAGCACAAATGATTGGCTAAGTATTTCACAAGAATTTCTTCAAAGGTGGAATTTACCTAACTGCGTAGGCGCAATAGATGGGAAACATATTCGGATACAGAAACCTATGAACTCAGAATCATCGTACTTTAACTATAAAGAATATTTGAGGAGCAGACTTTCAAATCGCACTTTGTCCATTTCGGACATTTTTCAGGAAACAAGAAAAACTGCTACACTGTTATTAATAAAATATAAAAAAAACACAAGATATGAAGAAATGTACATTTTTATTATTTTACCCTACTTATAAGTTAACAACAGACCTTATTAGTTTTTGAAAAAAAAAATAATTTCTGAGGGGCAAAAGGCTATTTGTTTGTCTTTAAATGACAAAACGTAGTTTGATTGTCTCTAAATGACTAAATTAAGAATATAAACTGAAAATGCATTTCTGCGTATTCAAAAACACTCAATTAAATAATTAAAAAATCATATGACATTTATGTCATCCTCTAGAAGGCAGCAACATTCTTCTCCTTCTTCACATTGATCGCAGGTCTGAGCTTCCTCGTCAATTACATTTTCACCATACTGATCTTTCAAAATTGGGTCTAACCAAGCTAGTTCTGGATCTGTCGCCCATTCATTGCCCGATAAACTAACTAAACATTTTGATAAGCTATCCAGTTTCTTCTTCTTTACAGCATGCTTCATTGGCAATTCCGGCAGTACTATATTACTAAGTTTCTTCTTTGGCTTGAGTAAACTTGAAAACTTTTTAGAAGGGTCATCATTCCTGTACAAAAATTCTATTTTATACAATATTTTATTTGCCCCAGCAGGTTGTTTGCCTCGAGTTATGATTATTCTTTTAGCTTCACTGATGCCTATAACTTTTTTGAGTGAAAGTGCTGCATGTTTTATGTCATACAAAGTCCAATCAGAGCCAAGCTTGCGGACTTGTCCTTTTTCAGAATAGATTTCATAATATTTGTCTGGGGACTTAATAAAAGCGTGGGAACGTAAGTCTAGCTCAACTTGACCGAAAACTCGATCAGCTGGCATAAACGAGTGGCCACGAATGGGGAACGTCATCGTAATTGTTTCAATAGTTTTTGGGGCATTGTTCAAAAGCCACAACATGAGTGCATGTACCATGTGAGAGTTTTTATTCTGACCCCCACATCCATCTGAGAACAATCTTAGATGTTTAGTATTTGGGTCAAAATCCGTCTTTCTTAGAAAATCAGCCAGCGCGAAACTTATTTCTACCACACCTCTTCCCGCTTCATGCTCAAGCCACGTATAAAAAACAGGAGTTTTTATGGAAATATCTGTCACGAAAAATACATAAAAGGCCAGTTGCTGAGCATAGAATGCTTCCGTAATAGGTGCTTTTGGAAGAACCTGGACCTGCTGCAGATCAAAACAATATTCCACACTGTCAGGAGATTCCTCCTTCATTAATTTAAAAAACTGCTTTGCTCGCGTCTTGTGAATGGATAAATCCATTTTTAATTTTAACCTTTGTTGTTCATCCTTGGTGGTGTTTATCTCAGTGTTTGTTCTTATGCAAAAGCCGCAAACATCAGTTGCTGGGCTTCCAAAGGCTAAAACAAATGAGCATGTTTGTAAAATGAAAAAAATGAAAAAAAATAAATACCACCCACCTATATTAAACTTATTGCTGAAAATTCTGCTAAAGTACTTGTAGTTTGTTTGGAGTGAATCATCTTGAACTTGATGATTATACATCTTCCAGAGTTTTTTTATGTTTAATTCAGATGACAAATAGATTCTTCTAGACTTGCCTCTACCATAGTGGCTTTCATGACCCCTCAAAGACGATACAAACTTCATGACACTTTCTAGTTTGAGTGCATTTTTCTTGGACTTCCTGTCCCCACCACGATTGTCTTTTATACCAATGCCTTGCATCTTTTTTCTTACTATTGTATGAATTCTTCTTGGGCCGCAATTAAAAATGGATGAAAATAATTTTTGGCAAACAAAGACTTTTTTCCTATTATGTCAAACCTGAAAAAGACATTACTAAGTATTCTGTAAGCGGGAATTGAATAGGTACTGAAGCTTAGTTTGTTGAAAACACTTACATAAAATTCTGTGTGAAATTCGTGTGATTTTCCATTCTTTCTCTTCCTTTGCCTTTTTATTTCCTTTACATTCATCATCTGAGCTAATTTGTTATCCTGCGCATTTTTGTTATTTTTTTCGTCATTGTAGAAGTTCTGTCTAATGATTTTTATGTCGGCCAACAAAAGTTCCATACATTCAAATTTTTTTGATCTATGGTCGCAGTTATTTTTAAAATTCAGTAAATCTGGGTCTAAATTTGAATATCTAAAACGAAAAAATTAAGCAACAAAAATACAACATAACCTACAATATCTCAATGTACCTTATTTCTCTCTTACGTTCTTTTGAGGTAGTATTTATTTTTCTTTTTCTCGTTCCTCTATTTGTATCTCCCACTATATGCTCACCTTCAATCATTTTTTGTTAAATTGCTCTAATAAACACTACTTTTTACGCACTACTAATATCACAACAACACTGTTGATTGCTACACTGCTTAAAAGTAAATAATAAAGTGGTTACATGGTAAGAAAGCATTACAAGACAACCGAATCGCATTTTGTCCAAAATTTTGTCCAAGTGCTGTTTGTTTGTCTCTCGCTAATGGACAAAATGCTTTTTGTTTGTCTAGGGCGTTTTTCAAGCCAGAAATATACGTGAAATATTGCGATTATAATGTCTAGGAGTACGTGAATTGATAAATGATGTTTTAAAGAATGCAACGCCATCTATAAGGCAAAATGTGAAAATTTGGACAAAGTGCGATTTGAAAGTCTGCTCCACATTTTTCCATTCATCTTATGGCATGTGCTGATGCAAATGGATCATTTACAACTGTCGACGTAGGGGATTATGGTCGGAATAATGATTCAGGAGTATTTAGAAATTCAGGCTTAGGCCAAGCACTATGTAATAAAACATTAAATATACCTGAGTCAGTGCCATTGCCAGGTGAAGAGCAATTCGGACAACCATTTCCCTATTATTTTGCCGCAGACGAAGGTTTTCCTCTATCAATCAATATAATGAGACCTTACAATGGTAGAGCTTTGAACAATAATCGTCGAATATTTAATTATCGGCTATCACGTGGACGAAAAATAGTCGAGTGCGCCTTCAGCATGCTTGTATCCAAATTTCGAGTATTCGAAACGCCAATCTCATGTTCCGTTCAGAAAGTTGATAAAATCTTTAAGGCTGCTTGTGTTTTACACAATTTCATAAAAAACCGTGATAATATTATTTTAAATCCGACTGATGATGCAACAAACATTACCAATATCCCCATAATAATAAACCAAAGAAGACCAAATAACAATTCAACAGAATCTAGAGAATACCTATGTAATTATTTTCAGAAACCATACGGCTTGGTACCATGGCAAAATAAATATACAGTATAATATTTGTACAATAAAAAAATTAGTCCTACTTGTTTCATTGAATTTTTCGCCGATTTTTGCGCATATGAGCTCTGTTGCTCTTGTATTGCTGTACTCAGAGAGTTTGTAATTATATAAGTGAGGATTTTTCTCCACCTCACTGATAAATTCGATATTAAAATCCACATTGTCTTTCATTATGTCAATTATGGCAAACATGTGGCTTGGCGTTGCGCGCTACAAAGAACGAACCTGTTCGATCTTGAAAACTAGCGACGTATTTGTTGAATCGCCACAAAATGCGCTCGATACAAATGTGTCTCTGGTGTGCGTGTCTGTGTGCAGATATATGGAAGTGTTAAAAGTGTCGGACTTTAATGTGGCGCAAGAATTGTATTAATACAAATGTATGCCTGGTGTGCGGCCTGACTTAATGTTCCACCACACTCACCTCTTCCAAATAGGGAAAAACCTGTACCTTATGTTCTTGTGGCGGATGACGCTTTTCCTCTATCGCCCAATATAATGAAACCGTATTCTGGACATCAAGATCGTGGATCAAGGCAACGGATATTTAATTACCGCTTGAGTCGGGCGAGACGGGTGGTAGAAAATGTGTTTGGGATAATGACATCTGTATTTCGAATTTTTCGAAAACCCATGCTGCTAGAACCATATAAAGTAGAAAAGATTGTACAAACATGTGTTTTACTACACAATTATCTACGTCGCAATACTAAATCAAAAGACCTATATTCTCCGCCCGGAACATTTGATATTGAGGATATAGAATCAGGTACAGTTAGAAATGGTTTATGGAGGAATGAATCGCAACCAACAGAATCAATGCTACCCATTAAGAATTTGGCAAGAAAATCTTTGCAAGAAGCCAAAGATGTACGAGAAGAATATTCTGAATACTTTGTTTCGGAGCAAGGTCAGGTGCCCTGGCAATTACAATATGCTTAAAAAGAGACAATTTATTGTTCTATAGATTTATGTTGATTAAATAATAATAAAAAAGTACCTCAAATTCTATTCCAATCTGATTGCCTTTAATTGCCTTATTTTTGTCATGTAAAAAGCTCATACTGTTGTAGCCAAACCATTTTGGTCTGAAAACATGACCTGCTCCAGATTTTTTCATTTTTTCATAGTTCCGTCGCTCGCGTTGATATTGAGTTATTAGATTTTTTATTTTTATCTCAACTTCACTGCAGTTAAATAATTGAGCGATGTCTTTATAAGCATCCATTTTTTTAATACGATTTTTATAATGAAGATCCTTTGGGTTCCATAAATTGGGATGTTCTCGAAAAGCATCTATTAATAGACTTATTTCTTCGGAAGTCCAATTTTTTTTTTCTTCAGACATTATCTGTAACAGATTACAAAATTTGTGCTAATAATAAGCCTTTTTAATTTGTCATGCATATTTGTAATCATTTAGTATAGCTGTTACCCGCGTAAAAAAACTGGTTTTCTAATTTTCGTTCATAATAAGGCTATTAGAACCCCAATTACATCATTTGGGTGTCATAATGGCGCTATATAATGATGAAAATATAGGGTGTTTCCAAACTATGCGATGAAACTTCAGAGGGTGATTCGTTAGGTTAGGAAAAAAGTTCCTATGAACATATGTCCGGAGTTGCTTCGTTTCTGAGATACAAAAACGGTAGAAATATCCTTAACCCCTTGAGCCCGGTGGTGCATCACTTGCATCATTTCTGTATATACTAGTTCGCGTTTTAATCCGGTGATGCATCATGTGCATCATTTTCATTTGGCTGCCATAAAATTTTATACGACTACGGTATTTGACCGGATACATGCATATACCTCAATTTCTCAGTGCCGTATAGTAGAAAAATTACAAACATTCGATGAAGTTTACCTATATTTTCCCTTGCTTTGTTCGCAAAAAAAACGAATCACCATAAGGATATTATTTAAGAGAAATGGTAAAAGACAAAAACGGTGAACAATGATGAAACAACTTTACAAGAACACTTTATTACATGATTTATAACATATTCATAGGTTATCATGATAGTATGTAAAGTGGTCTAAGGAACACAATGGTATGCGGTTTTTACATCCAATACAACACTTATACGTGAAAATAGAGCGCTTCTTCTCAATGTTGTAGCATACCCAGCATCTGCGTCTCGTGTTCTGTTCACTACGAACGAGCTCACGTCCTGCCAACCTTGATGTTGATGGTTCACTAAGTTTTTGCCTTTTCGCGTTTTTGTGTTGATCACGCATTGCTGTATAGTCTGAAAGATGTTTGGCAAGAATTTCATCACATAACTGTAATGTGAAGTCTTTCATGTCTACTTTTCGTTTGTTTGTAACCGAGTAGAGGACTTTGGCATTCAGTACCATCCTCTGTAACACTTGGATCCCAACTTTCTTGAACCAGGCGTAGCTCTTCCGTGCTGCATTGTATGGTTCCATGTCCTGATCCGTTGCATCAACGGCACCCATATTTGAATTATAGTGATCCACATGACTTGGCTTTTGTAAAACTACAACGCGTTTATCGACAACGGAATACTGGTCTTTCTGAACGAAATCAGCGGTCAGTTTCGATGTGATCACATAAACGTCCTTTTTGTCTTTATAACCCACAATCAGTACATCTCCCTTTCTAATAAAACACGACTGTCCTTTTTTCAACTGAAGTTGTGTGAGCTCAGACGGTACTCCCCTGTTGGTTCTAATTGTACCTGTCACGTAAGCATTTCGTGTCAACAAGAACTCAACTAACCTAACTGACACGTACCAATTATCCAAGATCAGTTCACGGCCTTCATCAAGTAAGTTTGACAGCATATACACAACCACTCTTTCAGACATCGAAAGCGCATCAGTTCCTGGAATGTGTGCAACGTTATATATGTCTCTACCGATGTACAATGCAAAACTGTAGGTATAGCCTCTAAATTTGGGATCACTAGGGCACAGAGCAAACAGTTTGATTCCAAATCTAGATCTTTTGGAGTTGATATACTGTTTGAAATGTAGTCTGCCCTTGTACAACATAAGGCATTCATCAAGTGCAAAAGTTTCGCCTGGATCAATCGCAATCATCGTATTTTCCTTTATAAAAGCGAAGAACATTGCCAAACGGGTCATGGGTCTAGATGGGTCGGTGGCTTTAGGGTCAGAAAAGCGTAAAAATTTCATGATAGATAGAAATCTATCCCTACTCATTATGGTGGCGGAAAAAACTTGGGGTCCAGCCAAAAGAAAGTCTCTTCTCCAGTAATCACTAGGGTGTGGTAAATGGATCAGGCCTTGCATAAGTACCAGAGCAATGAATACGTACATTTCACTAACTGTCACATCACGCCAACGTAATCCGTGTACTTTCATATTTTTGTCAATATTTTCAAGGAAATATTTTGCCACACGTTCATTAGTCCATTTGCATAAAAATGTTACAATTGTCTCACTAACAAATGTTTCGAAACATTTCATTGGAGACATCACTTCTTCCAGGACTACAGCTGGATGTACATCATAGTGGAGGGTCGGTTGTACCACATCGGTTAGCCGTTTATCATCCTCAGGATGTGGCACGATAATCCAGCCTTCAAAAGTGACGCATTCGGCTTCCACGTCACTTTCTCTTGAATTATATGAAAATTCATCTTCTTCGTCAGATGCACTGTCATCTACGGGATCATAATCTAAGTCACTGCTATCACTCGACATATCGAAACTTTATTTCAATACTAATAATATAACAAAGCTCAGAGACAACATAGAAAACAAGCCCAACTTGCATAGACTTGAAACTAATAAGCCCGACACACAGTAGAGTGAATAAACCGGCCACGTTGTATTTACTCCCTTTCCACACAGAGAGAAGCACGCGCAATCCAAGGTAATATGCATGTATCTTGAAACGTCGCATCGCGTCGCCAGGCGCAGCGCTGACGATGCGGCCGGATGACAGCGCGCTTGCTGAATATACTGGCCGGGGCGAAGGGGTTAAACCGATTTTTGGTGTAGTTATTTGAAGTAATAAGACGCTTATTTAGCTCTAACTAGATTGAAATTATTAGGCCCAGTGACGTCTCAGTGGACAGCACAGCCATATTGTTAAGAAGCAAAAAGTACGTCAATTACTTTTTTTGCAGTTTTATATTTTTTTTATATATTCAGCAACTAAAACTACAACTTTTTGGTCTCTTGTGTTTTCTTCATATCTAGCTTCGTTTTTGAGAAAAAAAATAAAAATAACTTTAGCTTATTCTAAAAAACTATCCGTGGAGAACATAAAATAAAAACCAAAAATGAAAAATTAACACTGAGACGCCATCCACTGGATCTAATAATTTAAATCTAGTTAGAACTAAATAAGCGCCTTACTACTTTAAATAACTACAACTTTTAACCAAATCGGTTTAAGGATATATTTACAGATACAGTTTTTTTTAACTTCAACGCGCTGTATCTCAGAAACGAAGCAACTCCAGACAGATGATTATTTATATTAAAATAAAAATGTTCACATTCGCGATAACGTTTGGTTTGGCAAATAAAAAATGTGGAATATTTTCAACCAATCGTATACAACAGCCATTACTTCTTTTTTCGCACTCTGTGTAGATATAAACTTTAAAATACCTTTTTATTTATTGGTTTTAAACCAATACTACATAGTATATTTTAAATTTAATATACATAGGTACTTACCAATATGGTAATGACTGGTATAGACACTCGACAAAATAAATTCAAACCAATAGTATACAACTGAAACTGCAACTGAACTGTTTCCACTTAACCGACTGAGTTGACAAACACGTGGAGTTGGGGAAAACCTTTTGATGTACCGCTTTTAATCCGAACGCCAAAAACAAAACAGCAACTGTTGTAAACACAAGAGTTGCTAAAAAGTTGGTAAAAAGTTGGTGTTTAGTCGATAAAAACACCAGTTTTAGTTGTGTTTCTGTTTTGTCTGTTTAGTGGAATACCGGCATTACGCTGCGCCGGCTTCGCTGCTGTAGCGACGCGCGATGGTGTCCAGCGCGACGCGGCCGCTGGTGAGAACAGGGACTATCGTTTGCTGCTGGCTGGCCGTTGTTGCTAGAATCACCGCGGTTAATAATTATATCAAGGACAAGCGAAGGAAAATTAACCATTTTTTTGTTTTTGTTTCAATCGGGCTTAAAAAACTACTACTCAAGGTATGTCGCACTGTCTGTCTGCTAATCCTTGATCCCTCTATAACAGAAGTAGTGGTCGGATTTTGTTAAAATTTCTAAACAAGGTAATTACGCTGCCAAGAAAAACCGTTTCGAAAATCGGTCCAGTGGCGGCGAGGTTATCGCCAAAAATATCGAGAGATAGAAATTGCTAAGGCTTCGTTTTCTAACGTCTCAGAGATTCGTCATTCTGATCATCAAATTTTGAAACGGGATAAGTTTACCGCCTATTAGACATATTTCATGCACCATGAATATCCTCGAGTTGAGTTAGGACCTTTAAATTCGGAGTAATGGGACAGAGCATGAATATATGTTGACATAAAAGAGACAGTTGATTTTTTTAATATGGCGGCTATGTTGTATTAATCTTCTTTTTTTGGGAGGACCTATCCAAATAGGTTATAAAATATGAAACATTTCATTTTTAGGTCAGCGGCATCCAAGGTATCTTCAAACACGGCAAAAAACAATTCAACTTTATTTTCCAGGCTACTGATTACACTCTATTTTTAGGAGCGATAAAAATTGTGGGTGGTTATATATGTATAATTAATTTTTTGACATTGGTAATATATAACATTGCTCATATATCAAACGTAATTTGAGAATGAGTGAAATTGGGGTTGGCTGTTGTGGGATTGGGTATATCCTAATGTCAAACCGCAATAAAAGCGCGAAGATTATGGAGTCAATCTACTTGATATGTCTTATGACCATTCTATCGCCAAAGCACCTAGGGGATTATCTTAAATGTTCTGGATAACAATATTTCTTGAAATGTATTTTATTATATTGTGATATTTGACCAAAATACATATGTTTGAATAAAACTTCATAAAATATAAAAGTGACTAAAACAACATTTGTACTCTTCTGGCGTGACAGATAATATAGGTCCTATATTATAATATGTACTACACTCGATCACCGAAATCAAAAAGACAAGCAAGACACTCATTTCAAAATAAACAAATAAATACTCTGAAATGTACATATACATCCTTGTACTCAATTGACGTTACTCAAGTTCTACTTTGGAAAAACCTTCCTTCATGAAAAATAAAACTTAAAAACGTTACTATAGCGTAACATTCGATTAAATGTAACTAACATAACATTTGTACTGAACGCGTTACAGATAATATAGGTACTATACATGTACATACCTGCTGTACTTGGATACAGAAATGAAAAAGACTAGCGAAAAACTCAATACAAAATAAAATAAATAAATACACTGGAGCTAACATATAGTCTTGTACTTAACACGTTAAACGCCATGGCGGCCCCATGGGACCGCTTGACAGCAGGTCTATCACGCCACGGCGGTCCATATCGTCCCTCAAAACACGAAGTGTCGTAACTGACATTTCCATAATTTTACAGGAGAGAGAAAACAAGAAAAAGGGGTCTCTTTTAGAAGCTGTATGTCATACAATAAAAAGTGTTTCACAAAACTTTTTGAGCCTATCATATTCAAATCCACTAGTTTTCAACTGCAGCTAGCAAAATGGTTGTATGCTGAATAAGTTTTGAGAAAAAAAATTGATAAGTCAGATACGTCATTTCGTGTTGCCAAAAATAATTCTTTAATTATGTAACGGAAGATACGACGAACAAGATGCATACATGATGGTTTATAATCAGAGGAAGGAAGAGAGAAAAGTTCTTGTTAATAATTTTTATTGACAAAGGTAAGACACTAATAAGCAAAAAATATACACAAATTCTCAAAATCTATTTAAAAAAACTAAACCTAAGCCTTATCGTGAGGTAAGTCTTCATAAAATTTCTTTATCTCTGGTAGTCTTATCACTGGATTTTTTCCATTACATAACGCAAGGAGGTCATTATATTTCTTATTAGAGATATTTATTGATGAGGCGTATAGTGGTCTAACTGACATTTCAGTATTTGCTGCGCCTCTTTTTAATTGAATGAAATCATAATCTTCTGTTAAATGGCTCGTCTTGAAAAATATTTTATCTTGGTGTAGCTTATCAACTTTAACTTCCATGATGTCTGTCCAGTTAATTGTTCTTCCTGAAGCTGTAGTACGTAGGGATAAAATCCTCAAATTCTTTGATAAAGTTTTGAAATCCATGAAAGTCTCTAAAAGTTAGGGGATATACTTTATAGGGATGTTTCCGTCTTGCCAAATTGATAATCGGTAGTAGCTGAGTCGGTTCAAAGATATCCCCTGCTTTTAAAATTGCATGAGAAATACTGCTATGGGCAGAATCCCCTTCATTTTGTCCATGATTTGTAACAAAGAATCTTAAAGTTATTTCCATCAACGATGGAAGGGTACTCAAGGCATACAGGAGCATAGCGACAACTATAGTGTTCTTATTTTGACTATAGCACCCATCAGAAAATAAAACAACTTTTGTCTTATCCTGCCTAGAATATTCCTCTAAAATTTTAAAAAGGCAGGTCGCTATCTCTGAGGATCCTCTCTTACCAGCTGCTTCATGCCACACAAAGCAAGAACAATCTTTACTAGCTAAATCATAAAAAGTGAAGTTGAAGTTCGATAATCTACTTTTATAAAAAATTGCATTTTCCTTACTGATTGGTAGGTAAATGACCTATTGAAGATCAAACACACCACATAAAACTGTATTGTCAGCCATCGCTACTTCTTTAAACAGTCTCTTCAATTCTCTAACCTTAGTTTTCTCTTTAATATGCTTTTCAAAATCCTCTTTCAATTTTTGTTTCGCTGTTTCATCTCCCTCTCTAAACGAAAGACACAACGAACACTGGTCTTTCTTTGGATGATAGACAAATTTTTGGATTTGAAAATTTTCCTATACATCGTGATACAGGGTTTTCTTTCGATACTCTGCTGGCTCAGCTCTTCAATGCGCATATCATACATCCTTTGCAATGTCAAATCTGGATGTAGATACTCACGCGAAGTCTTGCTTCTGCAATAATGCGATTCCATTTTTGGATATCTATCAATGTGGTCACTTATCTTGTTTCGCATTTCTTGTTCTTTTTCTAAAATCTCCTGGCATCTCTGACGACCGCCTCGGTTTTCTTTCTCTAATATACCCATCTCAGATATTCTATTATGCACTGTTTGAACTAGTCTTTCAGAAATTCCCAAAGTGCTTAAAAAAAGGTTTTACAGACAGGTAGACGATCATTTCCAACTGTGAAAAAATACCTTAAAGTACAGGTTCTCCGTGATTTTGTCGTGACTGTGTTTCGATTGACTTTCTCCTTAGTTACGTGATGAAGTAAAAAGTTTCGTTGCCTGGTAAGATCAGCCAAATTGTAATACTCACTAAATAGTTGTTTTCTTTGTTGGTCGTCTATTTCTGGACATTTTCTTCCAACGTTTGAACATCGTTTTGACATACATCGCTGCTTCATAGTCCTAGCAGGAACATACTTTTTTTTGAACAGACTAAAGTACGTCTGCCCACTATCTCTCAACTTTTTTGCGTCTTTTTGTTTGTTAGTTTTTTTAGCTTTCCTTTCATG